TCACTTCCTCGCGTAGCTGAGGGCGAGCTTGACCTCGGGGGTCATCGCGAACCCCTGCAGTCCCTGCATGGCCATGCCGGCCTGGCGGGGCGGGCGGACGTCTCAGGGTGAGCTCTCCTCCTCGCTCTCCTCCCCCTATCTGCTCAGCGTTCCCTGTACTGCGGCCATCGTGAGCATCGGGAGCATGCTCATCCTTCCTCCTTTCCTCATCCTCCTCATCTTCCGGCTCCAGGATAGAAGCAGAATCAGTGCACTGGGAAGGGATGCGTAGGAGGGGTTAGATGTCAGACATGTGACATGGCGCGAGCGCACCTAGCCTGTCCCACCCTCTCGCCCGCCCCTTACGGGACGATTGGAGGAAAAATGAAGAGGGGCATGAAGAGGTGGACGACTAAAAGGGGGATAGGGAAGACAGAGGCGCTGGATTAGGGGAACCCGGAGGCGGGGAATCCGCAGAAGGCACTTGTGCACCACCACTACATCTGGCCAGGGCCAGTCACGGTTATGGTGTGCAACATGTGCCTTCTGCGGTATAACTGTGGCGAGTTCGCAACCCCAGCCTGGTACTCGTTCTGGTAATCCACGAAGGCGACGTTCCGGCCGGGGATCAGGCGCACCTCCTGAAACCCAGGGTACTGCCTGAAGAGCATAGACAGCATAGTGTCGGTGGCCTCACCGAGGAGCCAGAACTCAGCATGTAGAAGAAGACAACTTTTGGTTCTCCGCGCGGCTTTCTTGGATCTGCGCGGAGCGCCAAAAGTTTATGTTTATGGCGTTTCTCTTCTCCGAGCATGAGCGTGTGATCCTCCGGTGGTCCGCGCGGCTTTCTTCGGTCGGTGCTGGACCTGCCTCCCCGCAACCCGGGGGGTCCCAGCTCAGATCCAAGAAAGTCGCGCGGACCAAGAGGAGGAGAAGGAGGAGGAGGAGGAGGAGGAGGAGGAGAAGGAGGAGTATGGGGAGCATGGGGAGGAGGAGGGGGAGGACGAGGAGGAGAGCGAGGAGGAGGAGGAGGAGGAGGAGGACCTGTCTCCCCGCAACCCTTGGTGGCGCCTCTGGCGCCAGGCACCGGGCGCGCTCCGCGCGCCGTTCGAGGGGTGCGGGGAAGGGGGTGCGGCCTGGCACCGATCGAAGAGATCCGCGTGGACCTCCAGAAGTGCATGGTCGTGTTACAGTCGGACTTGATTGGAGAGGACACGTGAGAGGACACAAGACCCTTCCGAAGGCCACATCGCCATAGGAGTGTAAGAAGGCGCATGTCGCGAGGCAGAGGCCACAAGGGTACCCTTGAGCTGGCAGGGGCCACCTACGAATCAGGGCCGACTGTAGGTCGGGCACGCCCCCCTATAGGCGGATCTTGGACGAAGACTGCAACACAGTCAAGACGTGCTCCAACAAAGACCAGAAACATAGCAGCAACACCGCCCCCGGACTGTATGTTCAGCATCCGCGTAGATTCCACCTCTGGAGGGGCACGCCTCTCGTACCCGTCTCGGTTCCCTCGGCCTCGGGGGGCAGGTTCTCCACGAACAGCGTCTTGTTCGGCTCTGCCACGCCCAGGTTCTTCGGCGGCGCCGCCTTCGGGGCGTTCACGCTCTGCTGCGGGTTCCAGCCGATGCGGTCCTGGATGCTCTTCTGCGAGACCTCGGGGGGAGGGGCAACCACAAAGGCGCCGACACCGCCGCAAACCCTCGACTCTATCCAAGGCTACGTTCTGACGCGAAGTTCGGGGCGAATGCAGCCGCGACGACCGAAAGAAGGGTGCTGTCGGTACCTTTTCCTCCTCTGGAGACCGGCGGCGCCGACTCCGCCGGCTTCGCGGCGGCCGGGGCCGCGGCTGGGGCCGCGGCCGGAGCGGCAGCGGCAGTCTTGCCCTTGCGGAGGTCTTCGCGCTTCACGATCTTCTTGGGCCGCTCCACGTAGGTGCCGTCGACCTTGGCGACGGCGTCAGACTTCGACCTTGCGTAGTTGATGCGCATGGGCTTGTTGTAGAAGGGGAAGCCCTGGAGAGACTTCAGCGCATTGGTTGCTGCCGACACCTCCCTAAAAATGATCCACGCCTGCCCGCGTCGCTTGAGCGACTTCATAGCGACAATGTCGACGATTCCTCCAAACGCAGCAAAAACCTCTCGCAACGACTTCTTCACGGTCTCGACGTTGATCTTGTCGTTGAGGTTGTTCACGTAGAGGGTCAGGTTGGGGGGCAGATCCGAGATGGGCTTCCTATTGTGAGCAGCTCAGAAATTCCCCTGATCCCGGCCATTGGACAAATTACCCAAAGCACTTTGGTATTATTGTTTCTCTACCACTTTCTCTGTCCATTTTCTTCTCCTCTCCTCCTCGACATCGTCATCATCATCAGCATCATCAGCATTAGCATCATCATGTTCAGCATCAGCATCAGCATAATCATCATCGTCACCAACATCATTATCATCATCCTCATCCTCATCCTCATCCTCATCCGCATCCTCATCCTCATCCTCATCCTCATTGCTCCACCTTCTCGTCGTTTCCTTGTTCTGCGACATCAGTCGAAACCCTCCTACTCCATTATTCTTACTCTACGTCCTCCTCGCCCTACTCCTCCTTGTCCTCCTGTCCTCCTGATCATCCGCACTCCCTCGTTCCTGTCTCCTCCCTCGTGCCTCCACCCTCCCTTCTCCTCCAATCTCCCCCGTCCTCTGTTTTCCCTGCACCAGACTGATTATCATCTACCTCATCGGCATCATCACGATCATCCGCATTTCCATCCACCTTTTGTTCTCGCTCTCTCTCTCTCTCTCTTTCTCTCTCCCACTCCCGTCTTCTGCATATCCGGTTGTGTGTCCGCAAACTTGTTGCTGTCTTTTCAATTGCTGGCTCAGGGGATCATTCAAGCCGCCCATTTGAAGAGGAGGATGGGACGGAAAGAGGTAGGACGTGGATCAGGTACAATGATAAAGGTGGAGGGGGCCTGAGCAGTAGGGACGGAGAACGTGGAGGAGTGAAGACGGGAAGGATCTGGATCCCAGTCATGCTGGATATCCTCGGCAACGATTCGAAGGAGGATAATAGAGAGGACGTGTAGAGGCCTCCTAGAAGGGTTCGGATTAGATGGGGTCGGCAAATCGCGCCACATCGCCGATACATCGGCAATGAATCGGCGATGCACCGGCGTTGCATCATCGACGTCGACGCGAAGCACATCGGGCCCCACATCGAGCCGCATCGGCGATGCATCGGCGATGCGGCGCGATCCTCCGGCCCCATCTACTCCAACCCCATCTGGGAGGCCTAGCATTAGGTCGCGCGTGTCCCCCTACGGGGGGATTTTGGACGAAAAATAAAAAATAGTCAACAAGTGCTCACAAGTAGCCCAAAAAACTCGAAACATCGCCCCCAGACTACTTTTTGACTGTTGTTGAATCTCCCCCCTGTAGGGGGGACAGGCCCGACTTCAGCCTAGCGATGCGAAGGAGGACACTATAGGGAGGACGTGGGAGGGGGAGAACAATTGATCGACGGCTGCTCGCCTCGCCATCGCCGAGGCAGGCTCGGCTCCCCCGCGGCTCCGGGGTCCTGCCTGCAGGCGCCGCCCACCCGGCGCTCGCTGGCTTGGACGGGCGCGGCTTGAGAAGAGTGGCCGTGGCAAGGGGGGGGAGGGGGGGATGAATGGGGCCCAGGGACACACAAATACACACACACAACCCAGTGGGCCATTCCCCTCCCTCCCCCCCCCCCCCCCCCCTCTCTCCAGGGGCAGGCCCCCGACCTCCCTCAGAGGGCGCCGAAGGCTTCCGCGAAGTCCCGCCGCCTCCCGAGGAGGCTCGGCGGCAACTCTGGGGAGCCTCCCGCACCCATCTGGTCGGCTCCTGCGAAACGACGCTAAATCGACGCTGAATCGACGCTAGATCGACGCTAGATCGACGCTGACCGACGCTACATCGGCGCTGTCTCATCGACCCTCAGGCGCCCATCGAGGCGATTCGACGCTAAAGACAGATGGAAGATGGTGTACCAAATTCCCATGATCTACTACCGAAAGAATCGAATAAGAACAAATTACGAAAACCATAATGTTTGGCGCTCCGCGCGGATTTCTTGGATCCGCGCCGGACCCCCCTCTCCTCCTCGCTGCCCCCCGCCTCGGCCGCCGCCGAGCGAGGCCGATGCGGTGCCGATATCGGGAGCCCTCGCGCTTTGCGCGGCCCGGGCCGGAGAGGCGCCCGCTTCCAGGAGGTGCTCAGAGAGCGCGAGGGCCCGCGGGGTGGAGAAGAAGTTCCGGAGGAAGAGGAGGAGGAGGAGGAGGAGGAGGAAGAGGAGGGGGAGGAGGATGAGAAAAGGAGGAGGAGGAGGAGCAGGAGGTGGAGGAGGACTGCTCTGTCCCGTCGCGGCCCTCTCCGCGTCGAATCCCTGTCGGCTGTCGGGTCCACGTCGGGGACTCCTCTCGGATCCGCGCCGAGTCCGTGTCGACCCCGCGCCGAGCCCGCACCACACCTGCGCAGAGCCCGCAGCGGGCCCGCGTCGGGCCCGAGAGGAGGCACCGGTGCTGGTGACGGGCGAGGTCCCCCGAAGATGCCGCGCAGGAGGCGCACGCGGTGGAGAGGAGGGCACGCGCAGGCCCAGCGGCGACGACACTTCGGCGAGCCAGCACCCTCCTCTCCAGGCGGTGGGCCAGGGGGGCAAGCATGTGACATGGGAGCGCGGAGGGGCAACAGGGGAGGAGGATGGAGAGGGAGCAGACACGAACGAACTCGCAAAAAAGATCGTCGGTGTTTCTGCGATGAGCCGGGTGATCCAAGGGGGGGGAGGGGACTTGACGGCCGATAACCGAACCTTTGCGCTTCGGGCGGCCCCACGTATGCCCGCGCGCACCATTGCTGCTTGCCCGCTTCGGACCTGCGAAACCGACAAGGTCACATTGTCCGGGGAGGGGGGGGGCAGGCGGGCTCTACAACGGGGGTTATCGCCAGATCCTTGAGAAGACGTCTCCTTGCAGATCGCCGATGCCGCCTCCACCCCCAAATGCACCAATCTCACTTCAGACAGATTCGAGCTTTCTCCCGGACCTGTATCAATGCAGCTCCGCGCTGGCGGCCCCGCCACTCACATGCGCTGGGGCCTCTCCAATCGCGCGGAAGACCATGTCCGGCACAGAGCGGTCGTGCATCGCCACGATGTGGAAACCCTGACAGAAGCTCTCTAGCCGCTTCTCTACATTTTCGTTCAGAAATCCGACCTTGAAGGTTTCGACCTCCAAGCCGTTAGCCATGGTCAGATCCCCGAGGCCGTCGCCGAGGAGGAGGCAACGCCGCTTGCCCCTGGTCAGCTCGCGCGCCGCGTCGTCCATGAAAGCGGCGGTCTTGTTGAACATGTGCAGCAGCGGCTCCGAGAACCCAACCAACTGGCCATCGTCGCCGAACGTCATCCTAAGGAAAAAAACAATGACACAACAGAACAAATCGGAGGTCCGCGAGGATTCCTCGCATCGGCGCTGGACCCCTGGCGCGCTTCGCGCGCCAGGGGCGGCGCCCGAGGCGCCGTCGAAGGCATTCGTGCGGACCCCCGAGTTTTCATTTTAGATCATTGCTTGTTCCCCGAATCCTGTTGGAGACAACCATGGTCGTCGCGGACAACGGAAAGGGCAACCTCTGACGGAAGAACTCCTCGATGACGTCGCCGAGGCCGGCGGACATCACGAGCAGCGGTATCGGGGGGTCTGCGCCCTGGCAGGCTGCGACCAGCTCCGTGATCCCGTCGCGGAATCCTATGGTGCTGCACGAGGCCACCGCGTCGCGGATGGCATCGCGGGTCACGACCTCCTTGGTCATGAGCTCGTGCACCTGGCCATACCACTCGCTCATGATCGGTATCTTCTCCTCGATCGGCATCTCGGCATCGATCTCGATGGGGTAATACTTCTGGAACAACTCTTTCGCGGCAGACCGGAAGGTCTCGGACAGAACGGCCGCATCCTCCAGAACGCCGTGTGCTGAGTTTAGATGAAGAAAAAACCGCATAAACCTACACTTTTGGCGCTCCGCGCGGATTTCTTGGATCTGCGCTGGACCCCCCTCCCTGGCGCGCGGAACGCGCTAGGGGCGGCGCCGGAGGCGCCGCGGGGGGGCCCAGCGCGGATCCGAGAAATCCGCGCGGATCGCCAAAAAGTTTAGGCTTATGGTGTTCTTTTCTTATTCGAGAGGTGCAGCGCGCCCCGCCGGGCATGAAGTTGCGAGTCATGGTGCGGTCGAAGTCGGCGATGACGAGCAGCTCCCCGCTCCGCGCCGCGGCGGCGCAGGCTTCGACCTGCCGGGCCGCCTCGCATGGATCGGCTGCCTGCACGCCCGTCTCCATCCCCGCCGTCCGTGCCAAGACTTTGCGCCCACCCTGGCGTCAGGTCGGGCGTGTCCTCCAACAGGCGGGTTTTGGACGAGAAATTAAAACTACTGGAGACAAATCAAAAATAGTCGAACATGCTCAACAAATCGTCCGCCGACTATTTTTGATGATTCCTCCTGTAGAGAGACACGCCCGACTTGACCCGGGCGCCCCCGCTTCCCAAGCCTTGAGCTCAAATAGCTGCGGAGGGCGAGGATGAGGAGGGCCCAGGCCCAAGAGGAGAAGAAGCAGCAGCAGAAGCAGCAGCAGCAGGCGGATGAGGACGAAAGAGGGAAGCTTCTGGCATCTCCTCATAGCCACAGCGTCGCAATTGCTTCAAGAAGCAATGCGTGTGAGCGTGGGGAGCAGGGGACCGACTGCCCACAGTCAATGCAAACCTGGGTCAATCAAGCCTTGCAAAATCCTGCACCCAAACCCGCTTCAATGCGACCGTGGCTCTGCAAGATCCTGCTAGATCTGGCGCTCTGGCTGATCCCCGTTTGCATTGACCCCCGTCTCTTGAGCCCCAGGGAGGAGAGAACGGACATGATTGGCCCAAGAGGAAACATGGAACCCCTGACACTGCCCCACAGGAGCCCAGAATAGCCCCAAGACGGCCCATATGAGCTCCATCACAGCTCCTCAAGAAGTGATGACGAGATGTGTCCGATGCGACGCCCTTCGATGCTTGAAGCTTTGCCACCCAGCGGGCTGAGCTGGCAGGGTGGCAGGACTTTCGCAGGCACCTGGGTAGATGTGTTCTCCTACCCCCTTTCCTTTCCCACCCTCATCCCCCTGCCTCTCCCCCTCCCCACCCTCCTGCTTCCTCTGCCCCTCCTCCTCCTCCTCCTCCTCCTCCTCCTCCTCCTCCTCCTCCAACTCATCCTCCTCCTCTTCCTCCTGCTCCTCCTCCTCCTCCTCACCCTCCTCCTCCTCCTCCTCCTCCTCCTCCTCCTCCTCCTCCTCCTTCGCATCTTCCTCTACACTTTTCCGAAACCGTTGCTTCCCCAAGCTCCCCTTACCTTCTGCGCACACTTCCACTCTCAGGCTCTCGTGGCTCCCTGCTGGGAGCAGGATGCCAACCGAGCATACACCCATGCGCTAAAGTTTGTCGCTGTGCAAATGGCGTGCCTAGTGCGTGTGAGGGCAACACATGTGCTAAAACACGTGTCGCAAATAAGATAACAATATCATCTGGTCTACGGATTGCACGCGAAAAAATGCCACGCACGCACATGCATGCAAACTGCCCCCTCTCTTGAAGCTGACACACGTGAAACTGTGTCAGTTGCACGCGTGCCAAACGCGCGTTCGATGCGTGTGTGTGTGTGTGTGTGTGTGTGTGTGTGTGTGTGTTTCTTCGATACCCTTGCTTCTACGTCAGACAACCCTCACGCAAGTGACTTCTACACCCAATTAATCTGCCGACCGCTGGTTTACACTCCCCTTGTCGTGGGCCAGAGGCCCTACAACTGACAGAGAACCTGGGCTGAAGCCCTTATTTGGAAACTGTGGCAACTTCTTGCCGCCCGAGGTCTCTTCCTCGAGAAGCCTCTCGCGCGGACATGTCCCTTGGCGTAAACGTTCGCCGAGCGCGTGACACTACTCGCAAAGTGCCTGCTCGCAAACGTCCGAACACACACACACACACACACCTGTCTGCTTCGATGCAATTGATCGTGGATCCCCCGCGGGGGATCCAGGCCGTTTGCGAGTAGGCACTCTGGGAGTAGTGGAACGCGCTCGGTGAAACGCGGAAGGCTGGGCAACTCTCGGCCGCATTCGTCTAGACGCCGTGCCGGCCGACGAGATCGAGAGATACCCTCCCCGATCGACCGAGACCTCCGTGGCTCGACCTCCCGAACGACGCTCGGCCCTGCGGAGAGACGGTGCCACGAGAAGGCCCTACGCCAGCCGAAGCTCGGCCTCAGACAGCCCTTCGGGTCGGGCGAAAGGGGGGGATAGCAAAGGGGGGGTTTGAGAATCAGCTCACGTAGCTGATTTTCCCGGCGCCTCCCGGCGCCAGGAGGCGCCCATGTATCGTGGAATGGGCCCCTCGCCGAGGCCGCAACCAGCTGCATGCAGCAAATTTCGTAACCCCCCCTTTCCCAATCCCCCCCTTTCGCCCTGCCCGAGCCCTAAGGCCTCCTGGATGGCCGGACGAGCCCAGAAGGACTGTCCCAAGACCCAAGGCACTCAAAGGCGGGCTCGAAGTAGACGAGGTAGAGTCCCCAATCGTAACTGTTCGGCTCCTGTGCCGCCCTCGATCCCACACCCTGAGCGGCCCTGCACCTCGCCAGAGCTCTCGAATCTAGCCGTGGCGACGACAAGGGCCACCGCCCAAGTACACCGGCAAACGCTGGATCCTGCAGAGAAGAAGCACACAATAGCATGATACGTCTGGGTGCTCCAGATTTCGAAATAAAAGGATGGGTCACGATCCTCTTCCAGACGAGCAGTTGCGGACCCCCCCCTCAGACCAATCGTGAAAAGGGCGACCTTTTGCCCAGACACCCCTGGAACCCTCCACGACCGCTCAAATCAGACCCCCAAAACAATCAGATCCCCGTTTTTTCTACAATGACATCCGGAGTGCGGGAAACATGGGTGCAACGCGCAACTGCAACTGTTGTCCAAACCCGACAACGGCCGCTGTTGGGCAGGCGATTCTCTGCCTCCAGTGGACACCGTCCGCGGCGGCTCCGACAGCGATTCCTCTTCAGAATGGGCAGGGTCGGCTGTCGGTCTGCGTCTCCATTCTTTCTGCACCCATTTCGATCGTAGCGATCCCCCCGACTGGCCCCGCGCTCTGACCAGAACTTCGAGGCGGAGCAAGCCGCGGCGACGCGGGCGCCCAAGGACAACCCAGACCACTCCAGAACGCGGACCTCGAAGCTCTAACCTCGCATCCCCCCCGAGGATGCGGAGGTTTTCGGGCCATAATTAGCTCGAGCCTCTGGCGGGCACTCACGGGATGCTCTCGGCGAGGCGCAGCTGCTGGAAAGCATCTCGAGGCGAGAGAGCCGCTCAAACCTTCGCCCAGCTGGAGACCGTTGTTTTTTGAATCTTCGATAACCCGGATTATCCGGGGGGGGGAGGAGGGGACCAGCCGATAACTGAACCTCTGGGCTGTCGACAGCCCTGCATGTGCCCGCGCCCCCCCACCCCAGACCTGCACAACCGGCAAGGTTAGGTTATCCTGGGGGGCGGGGGGGAGGGGGGGGCAAGCCAAATAACCCGGGCGATCGCCGGACCCTAAACAAAAACATTCCCCTGTCCGAATATCACGGTGGAGCCGCCCTCAAGGACGCACTTCCCCGTGTCAGCACAAGCCCGGGTCGGCCGAGGCCTTGTCGCGCGAAGCCCAGCAAGCCGCATACTTAGCAAGTCCGCTCAGACCCGGGTCGGCGGAGTGCGGAACAGAGGGAATTTGGCCCCACGTGGCTCCGAAACCCGGGTCAGCCAGAAAGGATTGGCTGACCCCCGTTAGAGCTGACCCCCATTGCTCATTAGTTTTATGTCGCTTACTTTGCCACGTGGGGCAGTTGTCGACGACGCCGCCGCCGCCGAATCCAATCATAAGAAGCAAAAACATGTTCTCTGGCGAGCGGTTGCTAACTGTGCCAGTCCCTTGCGAAATCCGGATCGCGCACCGAGGACACAGAGGCGCCGTCGCACAAAAAGCAACCCGACTTCGATACTTCGCATCCAATGCATTCCTGGGCGGCACCGACGCCAAAAATCTAGGGACAACTAACGGCACCGATACCGCTATCCCCTGGACCTCTCCCGGGGCGCGTTCTGAGCATAACCTCGAGGCGAATCCAGCGGTGGCGACGAGGGCCTCTCGAGAGGCACAGACAGGCAAGCACGAGGGATGGGCAGCAGTGTGGGCACCTTTTCCCCTCTGAACTTTGCCACCTCACATCCAGGGCACTCCAGGGTGGCACCGTCGCCAAGGATCAGCTTGCGGCACAGAGCCACCTGACAGCGCGTGAGCCCAGGGCGGAGCGGGGATCTTCTGACCTGGGTCAATCCAGACCCGGGTCAGCAGGAAACCAAAAACTGCAATGCAAAAACAACAAAAAACAAAAACAAATGCAACGCAGGTCTTCGCAAACCCGGGTCGGCCAACATGCGCGGCCGCCCCGCGGCCATGAGCGGCTCGCTAACCCCGGTCAGCCAGAGGGGATCTTCGCAAGATCCTGCAGGATCCGGTGCCCTGGCGGACCCCCGTCTGCATTGACCCCCGTCTCTCGAGCCCCCGCTGCTGGCTGACCCCCATCTGCACTGACCCCCGTCTCTTGGGCCCCGGAGCGCGCGCGGGCGTGCGCGGCCGGGCACGCGCCTGGCACGCACGGCGGGGAGCCGCTCGCCGCCGTGATGGCCTCGGCGGCGGGGTATGGCTCCCGGGCGGCACGGGGAGGCCAGAGAGGGCAGACGGGGAGGCATCGGACGAAGCCGGGAGGAGGATCAAATCAGGTGAGGATAGCCATTGCCTGGTGAGAGTAGTCTTAGGTCGGGCATGTCTCCCTACAGGCGGATTTGGGACGAAACATAAAAGATACTGGAAACATGCCCCCACCGTAATGACAAATTGTCAGAGAATCGTCCCCAGACTATTTCTATTTTCTTACTCCTTTTGAATATTCCCCTGTAGAGCGACAGGCCCGGCTTAAGAATAGTCCCCTGGGGGTGAGCACAGTCGGGTCGCAGGCGGGAGAGTGAGCTGCTCCCAGAGATCTCGATGTCAGGATGTCTGGAGCGCGTTTCGCCTGAGACATCCTCGCACGCAGAGCTGTGATGGGAACTTCGGAAGGGGATCATACAGTTCGGCCCCCCTGGCTGCTGTTTCAATTGGGCCACGGTCAATCTCGTGGATCTAAAGATACAAGGGGAAAAAGGTGGTGATGCTCGAGCATCCGGGGTATAGGGTTTAATCAAGAATTTCTGAGATCTGGCGGGTCTGGAGGATGTCTCGCGCGCCGCGGCCTTCTCAGAGCGCTCTGGAACGCGCTGAGTGAATATCGTTTACCGTTTACCCGATCCCCTTTCCCAGAGGCGTGGCCTGGCCCCCACTGGCCGATTTACCCCCCTAGATGGGGATATAGGCCGTTCCCTTCGGGTTTCGAGGGGTGTATCCCCAACTGGGGTGGCAATTTTGGTGGGGGTCTCGAAGGGATGGGGATGGGGATGGGGATCGGTGAAAGGATACCGCCTGAGGGCGCTCCGGAGCCCTCTCTTAGCGGATGCAGCGTCGTCCCAGCCCCGTCTGAAGAGGGCGGGTTGGGAGGCAGCTCCTGGGAGGCCCCCGTCAGCACGGTGCGAGGGCTCCTCTGTCGGGTCGGGCGAAAGGGGGGGATAGCAAAGGGGGGGGTTGAGAATCAGCTCGCGTAGCTGATTTTCCCAACGCCTCCTGGCGCCGGAGGGAGCTGTATCGAGGAATGGGCCCCTCGGCGAGGCCGAAACCAGCTGCATGCAGCTAATTTCGCAACCCCCTCTTTCCCAATCCCCCCGTTTCGTCCGGCCCGAGTCTGAGCCCGGCTCGGGCATGTCCCCCTACAGGCGAAAAAGCCGAAAATACGCAACGAATTCGTAACACAAATCGTCCCGAAACGATTTTTAAACCATTTCTGGATATTCCTCCTGTAGAGGGGCACGCCCGACTTAATTCTAAGCCCGGCTCGGGCACCGCTGAGCTGAAGCACGCTGGGCTACGTCCAATAATCAGGGCGGATCGATCCCACGCCCAGAATTCAGCCGAATGAGAGCAGGGGCAAGCCGGACGAAGCGGGATCACGCCAGATCGGGCCGGTTTTCGAACAGGGATGTACCAGCGCCGATTCTGACTTTGACCTCCCAGGAGCTGCGTCCTAGAGAATTGGCGGCGCGACCAGGAGGGCGTCACCTTAGATGAATTGAGCAGGGACCGACCGCCCCAACATTCCTATAGGCCTACCGCGCAATGTTATTAGAACCCCAACATGTTCCAATATCAGAAGCAATTGTCTTAGAACATACGCCCGATTAATTAAAGCACGACGGTCTCGGCCAGAAGTGTTCTAAGAACATTACGTGCAGACCACAGAAGATTGTTAGAACAATGCGCTGGTGGGCCTATAGGCAAGCCAGGGCGCTTCGCCACTGCTTGAACGCACGCAAGGCCAAACTGATGGAAGCCACCCCGGGTCTCGGGAACTTCCTCTCGCAACCTCCCGGGTGCTTGCACCAGAAGCGTCACAATCCCACTGGCCCACCACGCGGTGTGGCCACCGCACCGATTGGTTTGGGGGCCCTAGGAGGGTGAAAAGTTTTGCACGGGGAACGTAGGCGACCCGAGGAGGAGGAGGAAGAGGAGGAGGAGGAGGACGAGGGAAAGAGGAGGAGGAGGAGGAGGAAAAGGAGGGGGAGGAGGAGGAGGACGGGTCGCCTAAGCCCTTCGGGGGGACCCTCCAGGAGAGAGAAAGAGAGAGAGAGAGAGAGAGAGAGAGAGAGAGAGAAAAAAGGAGAGAGAGAGAGAGAGTCCCGTTCTGCGAACCACCTTTCTTTCTCAGAGAGAGAGAGAGAGAGAGAAAGCATCGCTGGCCACTGGTCGGTATCGTGATACCGAAGTGCCGTGAGGACGGGCTATGAGCACACCGTGGGCCCGTCTCACCCCAGAAGGCCTAGACAGAAATGGCAGCGAGGCGCGAGCTTAGAATGGCACACAAGCAAGACGGGAATGAAGGAGACGAGAGGGTTTCAATCAGGGGTGGGTTGGTAAAGAGAGAGAGAGAGAGAGAGAGAGAGAGAGAGAGAGAGAGCGAGGAAAAAAAAAATGAGAAAAAGAGAGAGAAAGAGAGAGAGAGAGAGATCCCAAAAATTCAATCTCCGCGCGTGGGCCGTCGGCCTGCGCGACGTAGCAGCTAACGTGGGTGATGTTGCCCAGGTGGCCACTCGGCCAGGGGAGAGGGAGGGAGGAAGGGTCCTAGTCATCACAAGAGGAAAGAGGAGAGGGGGGGGGGGAGAGAGAGAGAGAGAGAGAGAGAGAGAGAGAGAGAGAGAGAAAGAGAAAGAGAGAGAGAAAGAGAGAGAGGTGCCCATCAATTCCCGCGGTACCACGCGTGGTACTCGCACCCACGGATGGACTGGGACCTCAAGTCACTGGGCAGGGTCAGACCGACATCATTTAGGGAGTGGGAAGGAGGAAAAACTGCCACGACTGGGAGTAACAGGAAGGGCGTGGGACGGTGGGAACGCACTGGTCGGCCATCCATCGACAGCACAGGGCGAACGCACAAGCCTGACCAATCGGGCACATTGAGGGAGCGGGAAAGGGGAACGGAGCGGTCGGACTGACAGCTGGGCGCACTCTGGGTTCAGTCCACGTGGGCTCCCAGGTCTTTGGAATTCCACAGGGTTGAGTGGGGGAACAGGGGGGAGGGAGGGTCGATAAGTGGGAGGAATCGGTGAGGCGGGGGGGGGGGGGGGGGCTAGGAGGGAAACCCTGCGAGCCTCCGACGGCAAGAGCAATGGAGGCGCTCATCGTGCCTAACACCATGTACTGCACAGCGTCCTGCTCACGACTGTCGGCTAGGGTGAACGGGAACTGGAATGGTTGAGCAACTCCTGGGCATATGAATCCTACGATGAACGGACGCAGCAAAACTGCTGCATCGGACAGCCTTCTTCGCACAACTCGTCATCCTTCAGGTCTAGCGACAGCTCGCGGCCAGCATCCGTAATCTTTGAGTTGATTCAGAGCGCTGGCCCATCTATGATGTGCAATACTTGCGAGGTGCGCTTCTCCTTGGAACTGGGTACTGCCTTGCGTGGGAAGCGCGACTTGATGCACTTGTTCACCTGGCTGACCACCGCTTTGTCCCTCGTGGCCTCCTCGAGTTTGGCCGCCGCCTGACCCCGCGTGAGCTTCGACGGGAGGGACTTCTTCTTGCCGATGATCGCCTGGAGCCAGCCCACCTCCGCCCTGCTCACGACGCCCTGGGGTCCGGGAGGCGCCCGCGACTGGCGTCGGCGAACAGCCGCGGCTCGCCTCTTGTGTCGCCTTGGACTCCTTCGTCTCCTTCTGGGCTTCGAGCTTGGAGAGGCGGTCGCCAAAGGCCGACTTCGTCGCTGCTGCCATGTACTCGCCCTGGCGTCTCAGCTTCATCTCCTCCACCCTGCCCTTCTTGTCCTTGATGAAAGTGCTATGCTCTGGATCCCGTTCGGCGAGGGCGTCTCGCATCTTCTGGAGTTCCCCCTCCTTCTCCGATGGGGGGCTGGAGCGGCCGACCCCCCCCCCCCCCAGCGCGACGGGCATGGTCGCGGTCGCGATCACCCCGTCGATCCTCACGGCGGTCTGGAGAGTGTCGGCGGCCACGGTCACGGTCTCGATCTCGATCGCGGTCGGAGCTGTAACCGCGTTGATCCCAATCGCGGCGATCATGCCCACTTTCACGTTCGCCTTCACGACGTGACCACTGGCCCCTTTCTGAGTACCAGTCGACTCGACCTCCATCCCGACGGTCTCGATCTTCATCGTAGCGTTGCCAGGGCTGGCGGCGCTTCCCGCTACGACCGCCACCGCCCATGTCTTGGAGAGGGAGGAAGAACTTGCGCTACTGACGCGTTACCACTCGAGCCTTCTGGGTGGCCACGCACCAGGGTCAACAGTGTAGGGCTGCTTTGATGAGGCCCGCGGGGCATCCCAGGAGGATGAGCTCCAGGGTCAACTCCAATATCCAGGCCAGCGCAACCGGGATGGTGAGGGACAGGTGCTGGGCACGGGCCAGGCGCCCCGAATAAAAGGCGACAGTCGTCCCAAAGCCCCTGGGTGTAGCGCCTGGCCAGGGGGGGATGTTGGATTTTGGGCGCGGCCCAGGATCATGAGCGATGAGCCAGAGCCTGTTGTCATTCTTGGGGGCGATCCAGCAAGAGTCCTGTTGAGGCCACATTTCCAAGTCCAGCCGTGCGCATGGGGCTTCGGGGTCCTCGAGGTCCGACGCGGGGGGCAGCTTCACCTTATACACCAACGTGAGAAAGCCAAAAACACATTTTCGGCAATACGATCTGCTAATTCGTAGAATATCATCCACATGACGTCGTTGACGAACTTCGATAGAAAACGAGGAGGTCGATAACGTAAAGCCTGACTTCACAAACTGCTCAGGCCACCGTTGGCCCCGCATCTCATACCACGCCAGAAGAATAGAGAGAGCAACACCAGAGAGAACACCACCTATCGGGAGGCCTCGGAGTTCATATGCTACGCCACCAATCGTCACGAGCGAGGGCCAGCAATATGCAAGGAGGGTGTGTCCAATGTCCGATGTCGAGATCCTAAAGTACGTGGGAGGCGTGCCCGAAGTGAACGTGCGCGTCTTCACCTCCATGCCTGGTTTGACAAGAGCTGCACCAGAACCGAGCTGATGGACCACTGCAGCAGACACATCCCTCCTAGCTTCGGCAATGAGGCTTGCTCCACACTGCTCGTACGCTTGACCAGCGTCTGCGACGACGATGGCCACATTTCTGAGTGCACAGCCGCACCTGAGGCAAGAGTCGTTCGCTGGCGGCTCCAGCCCAGGAGCGATGGAACGCATCCCCACTTGCCTGCAGCAGGTGGCGCGTAGCCCGCCCAATATCTGAAACCTTCTGTGCCGGGGGCGTCAGCCGAACTAACGATCCTACGCACGCAGCTAAGCCCTGGCTTCGACCGACATCTAGTGCCATCATCCAGGAAGCATTTACTCTTTACCGTCGGGAAAACATACAGTGGGTTCGTCTTCTGGGAAGGTCTAGGCATCAGATTTCCTTTACGTAGCCAAATAGGTAAGCCTTGGTAAGCACGAGTCCATAGCCAAACAGCCGCATCATATCTAGATAAATCATATCTAACGGCCCAGTCATCATCTAGCTCAGCAGTCTGATGGAGCCAACGCACAACATCGGGACCATCATCCATCCAGTCTTTACCCCCTTTGTTTGTCATCAGCAATGATAATCTCGCCGGCCGCCTGGGTTCACCGAGGTCTGGAGGGTCGATTCTAACGCCTGCCATTTGGTCGGCGGGGGTCCTCGTGGGTCTTGGTGGGAGCCTGCTGGAGCTGAGAACCTTTATGTGATGTAGCCGAGGCCTTTTCGGATCTGATGGGGGCCCAGGCGTGCTGCTTGTGTCCACTGGAGTAGGGCTGCCTTCGCAGCCCTCGACAAGACTCTGGGAGTCTGCCAGACTGGCAAGCGCCATCAGCCAGGAAAGGCTCGAAGAAAGAAAGGACCTGAGACGAACTGGGAGTCGGAGACAGGGGCGGGGAGGCACTCTGACGTGTACTCGGCGCAGAACCTGCTAGCCGAAGTTCTATCTTCCCAAACCCGTTGGCCTTGGAACGCGACCCGACTAAGTCTCTGGTACCACTGTCTGGCTGGGGAAAACTTCATGCTGTTGACCATGTGCGTGATAGCACCGCGGGTAATGTACGGGTACTCACACATCTTAAATTCGTGCGGGAGGCGGAGCACCTGGCACCTGGCAGCTGGAAGATTCAACGTGCGAAGGTGCCGATTGATGTGAAACCGAGCCGCGCGCTGCCTCGTAAATTCATGAAGAAAGAGATGACACATACTTGCCGCTCTGAAAAAAAAAGAATATAGCACCTTGTTCTACACGCGAGATAAATCTGCAGAAGGGAAGGGGTTTCCATATCCCAGATAAGCAAGCTAGGAGTAATCCCTGGTGGGGAGGTTCCAGCAGCCACAGTGGGCCCTCCTGCTGGGTAAGATGAAACTGCTCACGGATCTGTAAAACAAATAGTCCACCAAATGGGGCAGACTCTGATAACGCACCTGGAAACTGGGCAAGAGGGCCTCGAACCTGGACCACTGGTAGTTCTGATGCTGCTGAAGTAGCTGACAACCAGGCGGGTGGGGGGATCCGTCGGGGAGGTCGCCTTCTCCGGGAAGGTGGCCGTATACGGGGCTTCCTCTTCTTGGGGGCTGAGTAGAAGGTCCCGAGGCCTCGTCTTTGACTCAGGAGTTCCGTTTCTCGTTCGTCCGCTCGAATGCCACTCGGTCTAAAACGTCGCATCGCCAACGCCTCGATGTGAAAGCTCGCGGCCTCCGTGGGGGCCCAGAGGAAAGGGATGAAGAACAGAGACCCTGGGCTTTTTTCCGAAGTTCTCGAAATCGAGGACGATTACCTGGTCGAGCTCTGGGAAACATCAAGCACCGCATGTGCTCCTGGATGCGCCCCGAGACTCCCGAGAGAACGCCTGATCTCAGTAGCGCCTTGCCTACGTAAATGGAGGAGTGCGAGCCTAAGATGTAGACGAAGGCCTTGCGGGGGTCCGCCGGGAGTCCTAGCGTGCTTTTGAAGGCGAGATCTACCACGGGCTCCGACCGGTCGCGAATACCTCGGCGCCACTCGGGAGGGAGGAGGCGTAGTACTTGTCGCGCCCATCTCGATGGTGAAGCGGATCGAAGTTCAAATTGAAGTCGCACCAAGCCTGACATCAGCAGCACGACGCCCACAGTACTCCAGAACGCAGGGCCCCGAAAGGCTCGAGCCCCCTTCGGTTGTGAGCCAATGAACTCAGTCAAGAATGCAAAGACGGATGTGGTATATGCGCGGAAATGGCGGTGCGCGCGGCGCGTCCAGTGCCAGGAGCGGATTTCACCTCCAGCTTCTCCGTGGGATAGTCCTGACTTCTTGCGAAGTACATGCATGAGAAAAGCTTGCGCCTGTCCATGGGCGCGAGGCTGGTCGTGAGGGAGAGGAATCAAAAGTCTGTTGGTCTCCATGTCCTCCACCTCGTCGTCCACCATGGATCCGATCTCGAAGTGCGCATCCAACTCACATTGCGATGACTTTCCATGCTGCTGGTGTCGTCCCCCAACATTGCCGTGCGTCCCGCGAGCATCCTGATGCTCGCTGCCGGGAGGGGCCATTTCTCCGTCCGTGCACCCCGAGCTCGGGTCTCTGTCTGGTCCCTCCTCCAGGCCATCGCCATGTCCCAGAGTGGGGTGAATATCTGGTAGTAAGGTACCGAAGCCTGCGCCACTGCCCGAAGCCATCGTTCTGTGCGATGGTAGAGCTTCTTCACGAGGGTGTAGATCTCGAAAACACGGATAACTGTCCGAAATGTCGGGTGCATCGTATGGGGATCTCGGAGAAGAGGTGGAGGAAGGGTGCTGTTGCTGCGCCTCGGGACGGTATGAGCGCGGTCCAAAACCTGGTGCGTGATCCTTGCGTCTCCGTTGCTCAGGATGTCCAAGCCGGCTAGACACAAGCTGTGAGCGAGTCCCGTGCTGCGAGCCACCTTTCTTTCTCAGAGAGAGAGAGAGCCTCGCTGGCCACTGGTCGGTATCGTGATACCGAAGTGCCGTGAGGACGGGCTATGAACACACCGTGGGCCCGTCTCACCCCAGAAGGCCTGGACAGAAATGGCAGCGAGGCGCGAGCATAGAATGACACACAAGCAAGACGGGAATGAAGGGGACGAGAGGGCTTCAATCAGGGGTGGGTTGGTTAAAAGAGAGAGAGAGAGAGAGAGAGAGAGAGAGAGAGAGAGAGAGAGAGAGCCAGCGCCGGCCTGGCTCCGCCCAGCGGGGTCGCATGAGGGCGACTTACTCCAGACGCAGGCAGGTCGACTTGCATGATCGTCGCCCCCCTCCGCGCTACCATTGCAGACAGCGCTGGGCTTAGGTCGGGCCTGTCCCCCGACAGGGGGATTTTGGACGAAAAAAATAATTACACCAACAAATCCTCCAACACTGTTCATATATATATATATGTAACATGTGTATATATATATATATATATATAAAGGAAAAAATTGCCCCCTGACAATTTATTACTATTTTTGAATTTTCCTCCTGTAGAGGGACAGGCCCGACTTAACGCTGGGCCATAAGAGCGTGCAAGTCAGTCCCCATGTGCGTGAGAGAAGGCGAAGGAGGCCAGAAGTCAGAGTCGGCGGCGCGCCCAGGAGGGCGATTTAACGTCAGAGGACTCCTCCCACCTCGTCCTCTCACAGGGGGGGGGGGGGGGGGCACAGCGCGCCAGCAGCGAAAACCTTACGATGTCCCCCCCCTCGGCTACAGCGGCTGCGTCGGCTACGGGGCCGCGGCGTTTCAGCTGTTGCTGCCTGCTGTGACTCGCGTGATGTCGAAAAACGTGGTTCTGGCAAGGTTGGACCACTCAAACATGTAGTCCTTGGACTCACATTGCTGTAAACGCAGCCAAGTGCACTTGCATGGCATCCCCCCCCTCCGCCGCCTTTGCAGACAGCGCTGGACCGAACGAGCGTGCAAGTGTGCTGCGGCTTGCGTGAAATCCAACTGTCCTTTCGGGCCTCGCCACGCCTCTCCCCTCCCCCCTCCATGCAATGAAACTCGCAATAATCTAAAGGAAGAAGCCTCGGGCGGTCAGGAAGCAACTCCTATGACGGCACCGTGCGAAAGATTGTGGACTGTGATGCCCGACTAAGGGACCACGAAGCCGCATTGGGCTGGATGGGGCTTGGGTCTGAAGCCTCCTGGGTACATTCCTCTACGAACGCCCCCCGTACACGTAGTGGCACACGCATCGTCATGGCTGGACGATCCGCCGACCCCTCCTTTACACCCCTGCCGGCCCAGGCTTAGGTCGAGCATGTACTCCTACAGGCGGATTTCGGAGAAAAAAATAGAAATACGCAAAAAAAAGAAGAAGAATAAGAGTAAGAAGAAGAATAATAATAATAATAACAATAAGAAGAAGAAAGAATAGTCAAAAATAGCCAAGACATCGTTCCCAGGCTATGTTCTAACTATTTGGGAACATTCCTCGTGTAGAGGGACGTGCCCGACTGAAGCCCAGGACCACAGGCCCGACGGGCAAAGGCAGGCCCTGTGCAAGAACGCTCGCTCACAGGTGAAGGATACGGCAGGGCCCCCTCCTGCGAATCCCCTCTCCGCAATTGGACAGCCCCAGCTCCAGCGGTGGGCATATCTACATACACATGTGTATATATCATTCATGTATTTACGTATGCATATGTACTACATTTGTAAACATAGAAGTAGACCTACACATGTGTATACACGTGGCGGATGCTCGAAACCCTGAACCAAAAAAATGTTCGTTTTTTTGGGTGCCTTTTTAACTTCCACGACCCCCCGCCGCCCTTCCGCCGGCTTTCGCCAGCGGAAGCAGCCTCGTTTTACTTCCGCCGACCTTCCGCCGCCCCTCAACCGCCTTCCGCCGAGGAAGAGATGACAACCCCTTCGATCCTCGAAGGCAAGCCCCTTTTTGGAGTGCCCCACGTGCGCCAGGTCTTCATCAAATTAATACAGGTCTTCACGTGACATGCCGTGGCCCTGAAGGTCGGGCGCAGTAAGAATGATGGCGCGACAAGATGACGCAGAGGAGACATGAGGGAGAAGGACAGGACAGGACAGGCGCGAATGCCGCCCGAAAAGGGCGCCCCGAGGAGGGAAGGGCGGTGAAGCTGGTGCGCCAGGCAAAGAGGGCGAATCACGTTTCGATGATCTTCTCCGCTCTCTCCTCCTATTATCCCGAACTTGTGCGCAGCGGCCTGTGACGGAGAGGAGGGCCAGGTTCAGGAGCAGCAGCGAATCCGAAGGACCTCACAGGAGTTGCATCCCAGAGGAGGAAGGAGCAGGAGGATGGGAAAACCAAAAGGTACCACCCATACAGCCACTCCCCGTACCTCTCCAGGGGTGCATTCTGACCAGAATTTCGAGGCGAATCTGGCGGTGGCGACGAGGGCCTCCCAGGAGGGCGAACAAAGGGAAAACGGCCGAAGGGCAGAGTTATGGGTACCTTGTCCTCGCCGGAAGACCTGGGAGGGATCCAGACCTTCCTGGCCCCGCCCCAGGGCCTGGCTGCCAGCGTGGGCCACCTCGGCCTTGGTGCCGCCGGGCAGCTCAGGCGCAACTAGGGCGCAGGCCCGAGATCCAGGCCACACGGTTCCGCGTGCGCAGCGGGGGCGCTTGGGGGCGGCTTTTGGCAGCTCGAGTCTCAGAGGCGCCCCTCCCTTGCCACGCCTTCCCCCCCACCGCTCTCGACCCCCCTTGTCCCCTCCTCCTCCCCCTGCTCCTCCTCCTCCTCCTCCTCCTCTCCTCCTCTCCTCCTCCTCCTCCTCCTCCTTCTCCTCCTCGTCTTCCTCTTCCTCCTCCTCCTCCATCTCCCCTCTTACCCTTCTGCTCTTCTCCCCTCCCTCCCCTCCCCATTCTCTCCCCTCCCATCGCACCCTGCCCTCCTGTCTTGGCCGGCCCAGTCTTCCTTCCCCTCCCCTTGTCTCCCCCCAGTCCCCAGGGAAGTGACGTAGCGACAGCGGGCACCTCGTCTCAGAGCCCCTGCCTTGCACATCTGCCTGGAAGCAGGCGGCGCCACAGGAGACTGGTGCGACGACTCTCGCGACGAAGGGGTGGGGGGGAGTGGGTGAGGACGGGCATGGACGGCGAGAGGAAGGCGAGAAGGGGGATGAAGGGGAGGGCCTGAATGAAAGACGGAAGGCATGACTGGTTTTCCTCCCTCTACCCCACGGGGAGGCGCTGTTTTGCCGAAGCATGTATTGAGCAGACCCTCCCTATTCTACAATCTAATCTACACCACCTCGTCCTCCTCCCCCTTATCCCCATCCCCAGCTCCAACTTTTACCGCCATCCCCCTCCCCCTCCCCCTCCTCCTCATCGTCTCTCTACTCCTCCTATCCCTCAAGCTCTTCGCGCCTCAGAAACCATTAGACGGATGGTGGGCGTTTCCTTTTCGACATGGGGCTCTCGATTGAGACTTCGCATACGTGTGGACGCAGATGGAGGGCGTGCCCTTCTCAAAGCGGGGCTGTTGCTGAGGAGGTCGCAGAAGTTTGGACTTGCCTCAACTTGTCCTGCTCTTCATAGCTCGAAGGATGGAGTGAGGCCTCTTTCAAAACAGAGACCCCGCCGAAATAGGGAGCCAGCGGGGGGCTCGTCTTTCGAAGGGGGCGCTCTCCGCACAGTGATCAGGATAGACTCTTCGCTGCCAAGCAAATCCATGATTGAGTATCGGGACTCCTGAGGGCGACTTGGGACCAGAGAGCCGCTGATACATCTTAGCCTTTCTCTGACCCCACTCCTCCTCTCATCATCCTTGTACCCTTTTGCCCCTATCACTCTTGTCGCTGCCCAGAAGCTCGTGCGCACTCGCCGGTCGAGCAGCACAGAGATACGAGGCAGCAGCGGCCTCGCGCTCCAGACACCACACGACCAAAGCGGAGGGGAGCCGAGGGCACGACACTGGGTTGGGGGGTCGATGGGGGAGACCGAGGGACTCGAATTCGCAGACAGTCCGCCCGTAGCAGAAGGAAGCACGAGAAGGATGCAAGGGCCGTGGGAGGCCATGTCGACGCTTTGCGAGCGGGGCCCCGCCAGCGAAAGCGGCCAAGGATGGACCGAGGAGGCAAGGATGCAAGGGTAGCCTTGGGAAGGTTGCCCATCTTCACTATGCGGGGGTTGACTGGAAGGGAAGTCAACGGGGGTGGTCGAGGCGGGTCTCCAGAGGATCTGGAGCTACAAAGTGAGGGGGGGCGAGGGGTCGAGGGTGGCTCAGCAAACGTCGAGGGCCGTCCCCCCATTCTGGTCGCCAGATCCCCTCTAGCTGAGGGGCTCGATCGCGCAGTGTCTGTCAGAATGAAGCCGTCGAGCCGCACGGCGCAAAGACAGCTGTCACGAAGCGCACTAGACAACACACAACACTCCAGCGGCCAGGTCCCACTGGAGAATTCTGACATCGTAAGCACAACAGGCAACTGTATCAACATATACTTTCGAAGGCTCCGCGCGCCAAGGAGGGGGATCTAGCGCCGATCCAAGAGATGCGCCCTGGACCCCGGGGCCGTCCCCCAGGACGAGATCTCCATCCTGACTTGTTTTTTCTGACAGTCCCGGGGCCCGAGGCGGGCCCCGAGGGCCCGAAAACGGCAAAAGCACCGCAGGACCCGTTTGCCTCAGGACCCGTTTGCCCCATGGCGAATCACGTTCAACCCCCAGGCGAAGTGCTGGATCGAACTCAGATCTGTCGGAGATGCGCGAGCGTATGCGACTCCCCGACGGTGCGACGAGTCCTCGGAGGCCCGTGCGGCACCTGCAGATCTTGCGCTCCACCTGGGCCGGGGGCTGCCAGTTCAGAAGTGTGCGCCCCGGAGCACCCTCTTGCTCCCCCCCCCCCCCTCCCCCCTTTCCCTCTCGCCCTCATCGTCCTCCGGCTCTTGCCCTCCCTTCCCTCACGCCTCCCCCCCCCTCCGGCCCCCCCCCCCGCCCCTCCTCCCAGATCCCTCCCATGCGAAATCTTTTTTTATTTTTTATTTTTTTACTGCGAGGGATGTTAGTCTCAAGAGCGATGGGGAAGCTGTACAAAGACACAAAGAATGACGGGCGTCGAGCTGTGGCGACGGCGCAGACCAGGTGCGACCTCATCCGCCACCCCGTGCGAAATCGAACCTCAGCCGCCACCCCGTGCGCAATCGAACCTCAGCGGGCAGGCACCTTGAAGCGAGGCGCGGTGCTCGTGCACGGCGCCCTCGGGCGGTCAGTCCCGACGCCAGGCGCGAGCCGCTGGGAGGACGCCCCGCGCTCCAGACCCCGCGGGGAAACGGGGGGGGGCGAGGGAACGAGCGAGACGGCTGCAGAGGGGCAGGAGAGGAGGAAGGATGAGGAGGGAGGGGAGGGGAGGAGGAGGAGGATGAGGAGGAGGATGAGGAGGGAGGGGAGGATGAGGAGGAAAAGGATGAGGACAGAGGAGGAAAAGGATGAGGAGGGAGGGGAGGACAAACTCCATATCCGCGAGCGGTTGCCGACAAGGCTCACGATCGCAAGATTTGCTGTGGATGCACCGCTGGCTGGGCTGAAGCCCGCGATGGCAGTGGATACGGGCGCACGAGGCCTTGATCACATCGAACCCGACACGAAGCAGGTAAAGAAGGCGGAGCGGCACAGCTGAGAACAACTTCCGCCTGCTGGAATTCCACCAGTTCTTCCTACTCCTCCTCCTCCTCCTCCTCCTCCTCCTCCTCCTCCTCCTCCTCCTCCTCCTCTTCCTCCCCCTGCTCGTCTTCCTTGCTCTTCCGCATCCTGCCCATTCTGCTCTTCCATCCTCCGTCCCCTGATCGGCAACATCGTCTGGAGCGCATGACTGACGGCGCCCCAACACATCACGCCGCCTCGCCGATGCATCGGTGATGCCCTCGTGCCGTCGGTGACGCATCGGCGACATCAACACGGAGCAGATCGCGCCCTACATCGCACCGCATCGCCGATGCATCGGCGATCCGGCTCCATCCTCCGATCCCGTCCGCTCGGAGCCCCCCATTTTCGTGGTCGGCCAAGAGGGGGGCGTCCAAGAGGGGGGGCGCAAATCATGGCTGGCGACATGTGCGCGGCCCGGGGGGGAGGCGGGGACGAAATGAAATAAGAAGAGGCGCCATGAAATCTAGGGGGATGCCATGGCCATCGCCATACTATCCACACACCCTTAGACCTCACCCCCTCTTTGCTGCCACCGACGTTTGGCATGCCTGGAGTCCCATGCCTGCTTCCCTGGGGCGCGCGGGAAGGAGACCTGGGCTCCTGGGACCTTCTCTTCCTCCGCCCCATCCTCCCTCCTCCTCCTCCTCCTCCTCCTCCTCCTCCTCCTCCTCCACCTCCTCCTCCTCCTCCTCCCTTTACTGCTCCTCCTCCCCCCCTATTCCTCCTCCTCCTCCTCCTCCTCCTCCTCCTGCTCCTCCTCCTCCTCCTCCTCCTCCTCCTCCTCTTTCTCCCCCTCCTCCTCCTCCTCCTCCTCCTCCTCTTTCTCCCCCTCCTCCTCCTCCTCCTCCTCCTCCTCCTCCTCCTCCTCCTCCTCCTCCTCCTCTCCCTGGCGCACCGCTGAAGCGGGAGGAGGCGCAGGACCAGTCAGCGCCGGATCGGGACCTCGGATCGAGTCGGAGTGCATCGGCACGGAGTCGAGATCGAACCGGAGCGGCTGAGCCAGAATGCACAGCAAGGCCGCGCAGGCATCGGGTCGCATGGGATCGTCGGAGCATCGGGATCGCATCGGACCAGCATGGCCGAACCCGATACCGAACCCGATCGATCGGATCGGAATGGACCCTGGGAGGGGTGGGCGGCCCCACGCGCGCGCCTCCGCGAGGTCCCGCTGCAACTCGCACAGCTGCTCCCCAAGCGGCAGCTCCCCCCGTCGCCTCGGGGCTGACGGAAGTGGCGTCCCCCTCCTCCTCCTCGTCCCTGTCCTGCTCCCTCACCTCCCTCGTCCTCGCTCCTCTTCCATCCCGCGTCCTTACAAGCCTGGTCGGCCCAGAACGGGAAGCGCCGATTTCGCCAAGCAGGCTCGTCAAGGAAAGAGGGACGAGGGCGACGACGAGGCGGCGGATGACGAGGAGGAACGCGCAGGTGACAGGGGAGCGCCGCGAGGGGAGCGGGACGTCGATGAGGAAGACGAGCACGACGGCGAGGAGGAAGAGACAGAGGAGAAGGAGGAGGAGGAGGAGGGACGAGGCGGGAGGAGGGAGGAGGGAAGGAGGGAGGAGGGAGGATGGGGGAGGAGGACGAGCACGTCCGCCACCGTGCCTGTTGCACTTTTGGGGGCGTGCTGGAACACGCCTCTGCTGCCTGGCAGGGTTTCTTCAATGCGCTTCTGGGCCCGGCCCTGTCCCGAGGGGAGGTCGCACGCCCTCGCCCCACCCCCGAGAGCCACCGCCCCCCCATCCAGAGCCGATGGTGGATCGGTTCCGACAAGTTATGTACGGATTGGAGACCCGTAGTTTTTCCCAAGCGAGCCCCCCCCAGAGGGGAGAAGGAGGAGGAGGAGGAGGAGGAGGAGGAGGAGGAGGAGGACGCACAGCCCCAACCAGCCACAACATGCAGCAGCTCCCAGCGCAGCTCGTTCGACATCAACGAAACCAGCCAAGGCATTCAGACACGCCAGCAGATAAGCACACTCGCCCCAAGACTGCCTTCCGAACGCCGCCCCCTGCTCTCAAGGGTCAATGCCACTCCGAGGGGGTAACATCAGCCAAGCACAGCAAACATATCAAACATACAAACAAACACTAACATAAAAGCGGACAAGCAAACAATCAGCACACCGCCCCCATGCAACCAAAACGCATGAAAATAAGCACGCCCCAGGACAGCCAAGCTCGCCCCAAGACTTGCAAATCCTTCCAAGCCAATCCCGAGAGTGCCCCAAGACGGCCCAAGAGGACGCCCAAGCCTCGAGAACGAACCAATTTGCTTGTCCAAAAAAATGTGGCAGATTTCGCATTGGCCGTGCCCAAGAGGGCTCCAAGACAGCCCAATAGGCCCTTAAGACGGGCCCCAAGGCGGCACAAGACGCCCCCAAGACAGCCGAAAAGGCTTCCAAGCAGGCCACAAGCTGGGCTCAAAAAGGGGGCATCGAGCTTGCATTGACCTTCTTCTCCTACAGCACTCCTCCAAACTCTCCAAACATGCCAAGGCACCCAAAGGCCCCGAGAGCCATCCGAGAGGCGCGAGAGACCACTAAAAGATTTCCCGCAGGCCGCCCTAAACACCTCCGAAGGCTTCCCAAAATGACCTGTAGGACTTCCGAGAGGCCCTCAAGAGGTCCCAGAGAAGCTCGAATATGCGTCTTTGAATCAACGCATTTCATGCTGAGCTGCTGCACTGGCGCAATGGCGGGGTTTGTCGCAGGCAATTTGATAACTCCTCCATGTCGCTCTGGGGAAGGGGAATAGGCCAAGCAAGACGAAATCATGTAATGCTACAAAACGGAGGCACGGCAACTTGGGTCCTGACTCTGACATCCATCCACCCACAGATCCCCACTGCTTTCTCGTTCGTCATTCCATCGCCAACCTAAGACGTGGACTAGAGAATATCTGGGGAAGCAAGCGCAACTGCGGCGAGGCAATCTATGCGACGAAACCTACGCTGACCCGGCCGCCTGGACAGACATAATACTCAATCGATCTGGCACGACTCGACAAAAGGTGCCTTGCGGGATGACGAAACACGACGCAAGAACCAAAGCAAGTCCTACGCTGGTGACAGATGGGTCTTGTCAGACAGTGAAGCCCCTGGCAGCAAGTAGACCGACCACAAGGAGGAACGTAACATAGAAAGCATATCAGATTCACACTTCGTCCGACCTCTGGCCCGAACACCCCAGTCCCCGCGATGCATCGCTTGAACATTATTGTCGCTTGCCCACGTGACGTATCGACAAAGTGAATGGAGGACGGAATTCCAGATAACTCGACCCCATCCGATGGCTATGCCATAAACTTCTTACCTCCCCTCTCCGTCACTTCCTCCTCCTCCTGCGATGCCAACAAACACCGATACCACTACTCCCTAGACCTGTCGTGGGATGCCTTCTGACCAATAATCCGAGACGAATCTCGCCGCGGCGAAGAGAGCCTCAGTTGAGACCAACCAAAAGCGAAGACGCCGCAAGCAACTTTAGCGATATCGATACCGGTTCTCCCGTTGAGTCCTGCATCACCTTTGCCGCATCATCTTTTCGTTAAAGCGCCGGACAGAAGAAGAAACACAAAAAACGTGTCTCAACATCTGACCCATCCGACCCGTCCACAGCCCTTTCCTCCTTCCAGGGCCTGTCCAGCTCCGCCGCCTCCGCGCACGCGTCGGGGTCTGCGTCGGAGTCGGTGTCCACACCGATGTCGGCCGCCCGCATGTCCGCGTCCAAATCCTCATGCATGTCAGCTTGGGCGGGAACAGCGGCAACAGCAATAACGGGTCGATGAGAATGGCGATATGCAAAAACAAAAAAACATGCAGTAACCACGTACGGTTGGATACCTGGGAATCCAAGAGCACTTGAACAGAGGAGGTGCGTAAGAAGGGATACGATCATATGTCGCCCGCCTGCACGCGGCACGCTCCCTGTGGGGAAACAACCCAGTTGCAATCAATCCGTCTGGCTGCAACACGATCGAACCGACCCCAGGCCAACAGTACGGTGGCCATGCGGTGGTCAGTCCGCGGCAAGCGGCTTATCCCCTCGCGAAACGCATCGCGTGTTTTTTTGGTCTACCTGAAGCCCGCAAAGGTCCGTCTCTTTTTGTTCCCCCTTCCAACGCCCCAGATCCTCATCCCCTATTATTCCGTTCCTGCCTGCTCCCTTCCTCCTCCTCCCGCCTCTCCCCCTCCTTTTCTTCAACCGTCGCAGCCCTCCATATCGTGCCCTGCTTGCCCCCCGCCCCCTTTCCACAGGCCCCCTGCCCCTCCATCTCGCCCCCCCGTGTGCCGCATGCTCTGGCCCGACTGTCAGGATCCACGCAATTGCATTTAGTGGCAAGAAGAGTTGGCCAAAACTTGCCAAGGCAATGACAGTGAAGGCGCCGTTCTATGTTGCGCGGGCCACGCGGGAGGCGCCCACGCGGCATCATTCGCAACGCAACAGTTCAAAAGGCGAGGAGCGAGGGCCCAGGCCCGAAGAGGACACGGGGGTGGGAACGAAGCGCGATGGAGCTGAATGGTATCGCGAATGTTTTCAACAGTGCGGACGGGCTCCCCACGACTCTGCTTACCGTGGGCGTGGCCTCGGCTGCTTAGCGTCCTGAGCCCTAAATTTTGCCACATGTTTCTGTGCACCGGCGCATCGACGGGCATCTTTCGCCCAGGGACGCTGGGGATGCTGAAACCTCCACCTACCCCTGCCTACCAACCTGAAGCGGTGCACACTCTGTCAGAACACTCCAAGAGTCATCCCCAGGGTGTCTGTTCATGCCTGTTATAACGTGTACAACATGCTTGGAGGAAAGCTTAAAAGAAATCCCGACTTTGCCGAGACCGCCTCCGCTACCCCACTTCTGCTCTACTCTCCTGAAGACGCTCCTGCATTTAGCGCTTTCCCACTCCTTGTAATAGGGAAGCGCCAGAAACGACTTCGCACTAGAGCTCCTGCCTCTGTTGGAAAACTGGGGATGGCAACTCTCACGGACATCGCTGGTATGATGTATTCCGTCACGGACTCTCACGCCAAAAAAGAATGTATCGATACAAGCTGCTGCAGACTTCTTGGTGCAACACAGTCTCCTGAATCTCCTCACCATGGCCGCCGGCCATGCGAGGTGAACGTGCATGGGGTGAGCTGAAGATAGGGAAAGAGGAGTATAGATCGAGGTCGGCTTGACGAAGCAGTAATGAGACAATCTGCCTGTGCGCCTCCATTCGTCATCTTTCCTCAATTCCACGTCAAGCATGACAGCCGATTCCACTCTCAAGCTTTCGACTTTGAGCTTGAAGAACTGGCTCCGTATGCGCACCTCTCTTACGAAGGCGCCCCACTGCGTAGCGTGAGCGGCCCCGTCCAAAATGATGAAGATATCATCCTTGAATCTTCCGTAAAATTTGATGCCGTATTGTCGCTGCACCCCAGCGTCTGTTGCGAAGTTCTCCTCAACCATATAATGGAAGGCTGTGTCGCTGACGTCCCCCGAGCAAAGCAGACCCATACCAGTGCCCCACTGTACTGTCCATAATCTATCGGCTACCCCCTCCACGGAGACGAGCTGATTACGGAGTATCGCGGCCAGGATGGTTTTGTACGCTTGCCGCGACGCAGGGCACTCTATCGCCTGAGAAGAAGGATGAATTAGCTGATGATGCTCCCCACTCATGAAGTAGTCCTTGATATCTATCTTGAGGAAGCGGTGGTCAGTCCGCGGCAAGCGGCTTATCCCCTCGCGAAACGCATCGCGTGTTTTTGGGTCTACCTGAAGCCCGCAAAGGTCCGTCTCTTTTTGTTCCCCCTTCCAGCGCCCCAGATCCCCATCCCCTATTATTCCGTTCCTGCCTGCTCCCTTCCTCCTCCTCCCGCCTCTCCCTCTCCTTTTCTTCAACCATCGCAGTCCTCCATGTCGTGCCCTGCTTGCCCCCCGCCCCCTTTCCACAGGCCCCCTGCCCCTCCTTCTCGCCCCCCCGTGTGCCGCATGCTCTGGCCCGACTGTCAGGATCCACGCAATTGCATTTAGTGGCAAGAAGAGTTGGCCAAAACTTGCCAAGGCAATGACACTGAAGGCGCCGTTCTATGTTGCGCGGGCCGCGCGGGAGGCGCGCACGCGGCATCATTCGCAACGCAACAGTTCAAAAGGCGAGGAGCGGGGGCCCAGGCCCGAAGAGGACACGGGGGTGGGAACGAAGCGCGACGGGGGGCCGAACAGTCAGCGCGGCAGCAGCAGAGAATCGGGGGGAAACAAACCTACCTCGCTTTTGACCACCCTCGCTTCCAAGAGATACCAAACGATGCCAAATTGCGGCCTGTACTGGTCAGGCCGCTTGACGAGGAGGCGCGTGGTATGGCTTGGTTTTGCCCGGAAGCGAAAGCGGGGGAGGTAATTCACGCTCTGAAAGAAACAGTGTCAAGCGAGGGTGGGCGACGGCGAAAGCGACGGGAGGACACGGGAGAGCGCTGCGATTTTCGGCAGTACGCTAAAGACGCAGCGCTGCTTGCACCGCGTCGCCGCTGCGCTGGGAAGCATTTAAACCTGCTCGCAGCCAGTGCAAGAATCGAGCGATGCCTGGCTCGCCAGCCAACTTGTCCGCCTCCTTCCTGCACCTTCCAGCGCGGGAGCTCAACGCTAGAACGTGCGCCGCCAGGTCTGCGGGCGGCCCGCGGGCCAGGACATCCAGGCCGGGGCCGCGCATCGCAAGGGGGCTGTCCACGGTCGTCGCCCTCGACAGCATCATGTGGACATGCAGCCAGCGTCGACAATGCCACCCGCCGTCGACAATGACACCCGTTGCATCGTCGCACCCGGCGTCGACAATGACACCGCGGTGCAAGGCGCGGCCCTGGCAGGCGGTGGACGTCAGGACCTCGGCAACAGGCCAGCGCGTGTGACATTGCGCTTCAGGAAGTCAAGCGGGCTCGAACTCTGCGGCGAAACCATCAAGCCCCGTTCCCCGTTCCTGAGGGGGAACGTTCGTGGGGGACAAGCTGAAAGGGGGGAAACATCGATCTGGGACCAACGGTACATCGTCAACAGATCGGCGATAGGCCAACGAGCGAATCCACATGCACCTGGGCGGGAGTGGCTATCGGGCCCCTATCGGCGATGCGTGATCGATTGGGGTCGATGCCTCCCCCCCCTGAGCCCATCCCCCCCCGAGCGCTGCCTGCCCCAGGCTTCCAGGCCGTCCTACCCTCCGAGCACCGCGCCGCGCGCGGGGGCGTGTCCTCCAGCTGCAGGCGGCACAAGGGCCATACGGCACGGGCGGGCGGGAATGCGGCCATCAGGGCCGGGAGCAAGGAGCCACGGCACCAACACTGCTACGGCCGTCGCAGGGGGGGCAGGAGTAGAGGGCCCTCCTGGCAGTTGTGGCGTCGCTGCTTTTCGGGCCCCGCTGGAGAAATGGGGGACGTGGTAAGTGGGGGAGGAGGGGGGGCCACGCACCTGGGGATTTTCGGGGGCGCGCAAACATGGATTAGCGATCCACGGATTTGGCGCGCGGTCGCCAAATCCATGGATCGGGGGAGGTGCCCTCCCCAAAATGCGGCCGGTCCCGCCTCGTTCGGCGGCGGAACCCTGCGATTTCCAAAGCAAACGGGGCCCGCCGCTGATCCACGCCGCCTTGATCCATGTTTGCGACTGCCTGAGGATAGGGGTCGGCTAAACGGTGCCCAGAGGCTCCCCCGAGCTGCCACACAAGCAGGGGCCCCCCGCCGCCCCGCGCCGTGGGGGGGGGCTCCAGCGCAACCGCGCCGCGGCGTGGAGGCCGCGGGGCCCTGCCGCGAGAGGCGCATGGGCAGCCCAACGGCGGCGGAGGCGCGGCTCCTCTCCCCGACGCTGCACAGTTTCCCCCAGGCCCGTAGGCGACCCGAGGAGGAGGGAGGAGGAGGAGGGGGAGGAGGAGGGCGAGGAGGAGGAGGAGGAGGAGGAGGAGGACGGGTCGCCTAAGCCCTTCGGAGAAACCCTCCACCCGACGCTGGTGGTGCTGGTGCTGCGCCTCCTTCCTCCGATCGCGAGGGGCGCTTCCGCGCTGAGCTGCCAAGCGGCCGAGGTGTGCCCGCACCCTCGCCGAGCGTGCCCTGGCGGCCGACGGGGCCAGGCGCGCGCTCGCCCTCCCCACAAGATCTGGCCCCATCTCCGATGCTTGCCAGCCAGGAACAGATCCCTATCCGTATGACTGGCATCGTCTCATCTCGATGGTGAGCGCTTTTTAAAAATTCGCGTTTCGACATTAGGCGGCAAGGGGGGGGAAGGGGGGTCTGGCTCCAGGCCTCTGCTTAGTGCGACTGTCTCCAAGACAGGCGCCAAGAAACAGCCAAGATCTACTCCATAAGGGGGGGGGAGGGGGGGGCGCCCGCCCCGGCAAAACAATTAATAAAACAACGATCACATGCCAATCTTAAGGATTCCCTCCGTTTCTGAGGGCGCACCCCTTACGTCATTAACTGCCTGTTGGTGTGTGTGTGTGTGTGTGAACCTTAGGGGCAGCCTGGTCAGGCGCGCTGGGAGCACCGTGCGGTCATTGCAGGGTGAGGCGGCCAGAAAGCCGATGAGCTACGTGCGGGCACGGGCCATGGCCAGGCGCACCCGGGGTCGGAAAGGAAAGAGCGGCGGGCGCAAGAATCGAGACCAACAAAAATCTTACAACGGACGGCGGAATGCCGATTGGCGACCGTAGCATTCGCTGCCCCAACCCCTAGGCAGGGAGGACGGCCTCGAATGCCCTCGAAATGGTGATCTCATCACGCCCTCATCTGACAAGGTAACGCAGCCACGGACGCACGGCCCAGCCGCACCGATCCATGGGCCTCCAGAGCCAAAGTTGCGACGCCACTTCTTGGGCCTGTACCCAGATGCACGAGAAACTCCAGAGGCAGACCCATGTAGTCACCTAGGCATCTAGCCTCCTCCGAACCCAAAGTGGACCTCACCCCACAATTTTGACAAGGCGAAAAGAGCGGACAAGGTCCGCAATAACAGGACGATTTGCGGGTATCCGAGAGCCTTCCCGACTATTAGAGAGAACAATACTTCCTGGCCAGGTTTCCAGACAAACGCACGCGGTAAATACTCAGGTAGCAATTCGGGAACACTCCCACGAATCGGTGCTTCCGGAGTGGCCATTCAAAGCCGGCTGGCGCATTTGTTCGGTGTAAGGGGAGCGCAGAAGGGGAAGCGACGAGGAAGGTGGACAAAAAAACGCGGTGCAAGAGGAGCAGGATGATCGATGAACTGGGCACACACGCGATTTGCATTCAAACTTGGGGCCGTCTAAACACGTCAGGGAGAAGAGATGCTGAGATGCATGGGACGGATGAGAATGGTCAAGTGTGGCTCGCCCGTGCCCCAAGTATTGGAACAACACGACAAACACGAGCCATACACAAACAATGGGCACACGCATACGACAAACCTCGCCCGTGTTACTCGGACGCACGGTGTGTAGCGTGTGTGTATATACATATATATGTATATACATATACATAAGTGGGTTGCGTTCCCTTCGGGCTCGCCACATGCATCATAGCTGCATCCGCCCTGAGGTACACAAGGGCCACCAACGTCCTGCACGGCCGCGGTCCCCACGGCACACCTCGCCTGTGTTAGGCAAACGCACGTTGCGTGTATGCTGCGTTCCCCGCAAGTTTGCCGCGTGCATCGTAGCTGCATCCGACACACAGGGCCACCAGCATTCGCACGGCCGCGGTCTGGCACCTCAACAGCGGTCTCGATCACGCAGCGGGAACGGAAAACGATCGATCGTTGGAAAAGCTACTACCCTTTTGTCCCTCTTGGCCCTGCCTGGGTGCGACTGAAGAAGGAAAAAACGAAAAACAATTACTCCGACGGTGGGACCCCGCATGAGAGTCCTCTCGGCCAAATCTGGAAATGACCCCCTCACCGTCGTCCTCGCGATTAGGGAGGCGCCAATACTGTCTCCTCCGAGTCGTTGTCCTTTTCGCCCTGGTGCAAGTCCTCCCCCCGCTCCCTGCGTTGACCCATCCTCGCCTTCTATTTGTTTCGCTCCCCGTCACCTCCTGGCCCTTCCAACTGCATGAGCGCGCGTGTCGATGTTCCACGGTGCCGTCGCCGCCTCGGCCAGCACGGGCGCAATCTCTAACTGATACATTGCGCCGCAGCCGTTGGGACAACCCTGCGGGCCAGGCCGTCGGAACAACCTTGCGAACCGCTGGTAGGGACAACCCCGCGGGTTTTGGACGGCGCGCCGCCGCGCTCAGGCGGGGGGCGAAACCAAGTTCTGCCGCGAGCTGCCCCGCACCTGCCATAAAGTTTTCCGCCCCGACGTCGGACTCCAGGAACGCCTTCCGCAAGGACGTCGTCGTCGTCGCAATTCACTCACAGACGAGGCTCCCGCCTGATCGGGCACGCGGGCCCATGAGAGTAACAAATTCGGCGACGACCAGCTCCGACGAGGCTGCCCGCAATCCACACAAAGAAGAGACTCCCGCCTCATACTTTCCCAATACATCGGCGCTCCGAAAGTTTATTCCGATTTGAAAGGCACGGCGCCGCGCGAATGCAGCGCAAACGCAACGCTGGAAGGGCGCGACAATGCATGCCCCCTTGACACGCGGGAGCAGCCGCGCCCCCGCGCGAATCCGATCCCGCGCGGGGCGCGCTCCCGTTGACAATGGCTCACCCGGGGCACAGTTTCTTGCGCAGGAAGTCCTGAGCGGTCTGCCCATCGGCGGCCCCTTAGGACGAGGCCCGGACCCCCCGAGAAACTGTTTTTCCATAGGAAGTTCTAGGCGGTTTGCCCATGCTCGGTTTCGTCGGAGCGGGCCCAGAGACCTCGAGAACGATGATTTTGCAAGGAGTCCTAGGCGGTTTCACATTTTCGGGTCGTTCGAACCGGACCCGAATCATTTTGGGCACAAATCTTATGGGATTTGGCCACTTTCAGGTCGGCCGATACACTTTCGGGTCGGAGCATGACCGACCCCGGAAGCTTCTTTCGAGGAGGTCCTATGCCGTTTGCTCATTTTCGGGTCAGTACACCGTTTGGGATTTAAAATTTAAATTGGGAAGGAGAACGCGATACCGCGACCCCGGGCGGGGGCTAGGCTCTGCCCTTGCATTGTACGGGGCTCCTCCGGCCAATCGGGGCGTTGGGCTGCCCATCGGCGCGCCGACTCTGCCCTCGCGACATCGCCACCATCCGCCCTCGGGCCCCGCGAAACTTGTCCCGCGCGCGCCACCCCAGATGGCCGCAGCCGGCGCCGTGGCGAAATTGGGGGAACTTTCGGACCGGCGCAGTAGTCAGACCTCAGCGACCCGAAAGTGAAGACAGTTACACGGTTTCGATGATCCGCTCAAATTTCTCACATGAGCTGCGGGCCCCATAGGGAAGGGGCTCCAATTCACTCACAGACGAGGCTCCCGCCTTATACTTCCTCCTCTCTCAAGCCTGAAGAACTCAAAAGTGAAAACAATTACAAGTTTCTGATTGCCCGCCCGGATTACCAACATGAAGTGCGGGCCGCATAGGGAGGGGGGGCCCGCCGGAGACTTCCTCGCAATGCACTCACAGACGAGGCATCCGCCAGGTACCTTTTCCATATTCAGGCCTAAGGGCCCAAACATGAAGACAATTCCAAGGTTTCGATAACCCGCTCGGATTACCAACATGAAGCGCGGGCCCCATCAGGAGGAGGCTCCCGCCTGAGACTTCCTCGCAATTCACTCAAAGACGAGGCTCCCACCTAATACTTCCTCAAGCGTGGGTGTAAGTGAGCGGGTGAGTGAATGAGTGGGTCAGTGACTCAGGATGATGATGATGGTGGTGATGATGATGAATGAAGGAATTTGTGGGTAGGTGGGTGACTGAGTGTGCGAGTGAGTGATGATGATGATGATGATGCTGATGCTGATGCTAATGCTGATGCTGATGCTGATGCTGATGATGATGATGATGATGATGATGATGATGATGATGATGAGTGTGAATGAGTGAGTGTGCGAGTGATGACGGCGGGGGTGATGATAGCGTGCGTGAGTGGGTGGGTGGGTGAGTGGGTGAGTGAGAGTGATCATGGCGCGTGAGTGATTGGGTGAGTGCGCGAAGGGAGAATAGAGAGAGAGAGATAGAACAAAAAAAAGAAAGGGGGGGAGGAGGAGGAGAGGTCCTGCGCGGAGGTGTGCAAGAAAACAAGAAACCCACATTGGATGTGGGGAAGGAAAGAAATCCTCACACAAATCAGCACGCGGCGCCTAAAGATCGTACTCAACAGAGCTCCACTCTCTGAGACTGCTTGGGGCCATCACGTGTGACCAGTCCAGTTGCTACATGCTGTGTGTGAGAGGGAGGTTGTGCGCGTTAGGTCTCGCCTCCTCTCCCTCAGGGGTCCAGAGCAAACGATCTTTCAAAAGAGAAAGAGACAGAGAGAGAGAGGCAGAGAGCGAGAGCGATAACAACAGCACAAGGGAGATGTAGCGAAAGAGAACACACGAAACACGAAACTAACAGACAATAGCAGAAAGAGAGAGGGCGATATATGAGAGGGATACACATAGCTCTATATATATATATATATATACACATGCACATACGGATACATTCATATGTCTATATATATATATACACATGCACATACGCAGTGAGATGAAGGAATATGCCTATATATATAGAGAGAGAGAGAGAGAGAAATAACCAACAATAATAAACAAACAAGAGACAGACAGACAGACAGGCAGACAAACAGACAGACAGACGGACAGACAGGCAGACCGAGGGATGGAGAGCGAAGGAAAGAGAGAGAGCATACTGCCTCCCCCCCACCCCCCCGTTCGCCGGTGACGACGCCGTGGAGGCCGTCGTCTTGGTCTGCCGGCTGCGCCTCCGCTTCCCTCGGGTTTTCTCCGCTCCCCCGGTCATCTCTCCTGCTTTTTGGCTCTCCTCCTGGCCTCCTGCTGCCCCATCCGTCTCACTCCCTCCCTCCTTGTTCCTCCTCCCTCCTCCCTACCCCTCCGCTCTGCAGCGTCCTCCCCTTCCCCCCCCTCCCTCCGCCTTCGCCCCACGCACGCCTGCCTCCTCCAGCTTCCCCCCTTCCGTCCCGGCCCGTGTCCCTCCCTGTTCCGCTCCTCGCCTGCCTCCATCCACCCATCCTTTCTCCCTCCCGGGCCTCTTCCCTCCTCCTCCCTCCCTCCCTCCGCCCAACCTCCCCACCTCCCGCCGCCACCTCCTCCCACTTCCGAGTCCGTCACCGTGCGGCCAAGCACCGAACTGAGGGCCCCCGGGCCCCCGCCAGCCTCGATGTGCGGAGTGCTGCGCATGCTCGGTGAGGGGTCCAGGCCCAGAGGCCTCCCGGATGGGGTTGAAAGTATCGCGCCGTGTCGCCGACGCACCGCCGATGCAACTGGGATGCACATCAAGCCGCATCGCCGATGTGAATCGGCGATGCGGCGCAATCCTCCGACCCCATCTGCCCCAAACCCATCTGGGAAGCCGAGAGTAAACATATTCAAGGAGGGGCCCCTGCCCCACATCCCAGAAGCTCCCGAGGCCGCAGGAGAGGTCGCTGCACCCTCCGCGCGGACGCCGTCCTGCAGCCAGTGGCAGATAGGACTGCGCGGGTGCTTCCAAGGGGGGCGCAACAAACGGGGGGTGCAGGAACGTGCGCATCTCGTCCACCGTTGTGGCCCGCGGTGGCAGCCAATGGACCCCTTGGGGCCACAGTGCGGCCACCTTCCTGTAATCCTCAATGCCCCCACGTTTTTCTGCCCCCCACCGTATTGAGCAGGGACCGATCATTCCAGCATTGCCGTAATTAGGCCTACCGTGACATTCCCTTACAGCTATAAAGGAATGTCCGAATCACAGAGACAATGTGCTCATGACATAAGAGCGGCGTGTGTACCAATCATGGCTCAGCCAGAAAAATTACAAGGGCACTTCTTGCAAGTCGCAAGATGTTCTCCGAGTATGATTTGGTTCAGGACGCTACGCCAGTGCTTCACCGTTGCCGTCCGCCCGACCTCCGCTGAGTGCCTCTCGCGCAACCCGCCGGGCAGGTATCGAGACCCCGCCTCCTCACTGCAATCAGGGCGGCGCCATGCCCGCAGCGACGCGGCCAGGCGGCTCAGAACGACAGGGCCTGACCAAGAGCACGCTGTACAGGCTACGAGGGAAATCCTGGAGGCCTCGCGCGGCAACTTGAGACGGTAAGCCTTCGGGTTGCGCACAGGCAGCCCCCCGAGGTAGTCCCAGCTGGCCTCAACAGGGCGCCCCGAGTAGTCCCAGCTGGCCTGACCAGGCCCCCAGAAAAACTCTGGGGCGGTCTCAACGCCCTGGCACCGCCTCCAGCGGCACCCCTGGGGCACTCCGCGCCATAGGATTGAGGTGTTGAGACCGCCGCGGACTACTCGGGGGGCCTGTTGAAGCCGGCTCGGACTGATCGTGGGCCTTTTGAGGCCAACCAGGGCTTCCTGGGGGGGCTGTCTGTGCATAACCCGAAGCCTTACCAACTTGAGACCCAATCCACCTTGGATCCACGTCGGATTTACGCTGTAATTGTGTCGGAATCTCGACGCGCGAGCGTTGTCCCACATCTCACAACTGTGCGCCGCGCGAGGCCTCCAGGATTTACTTATAGCACAGGGTGTGCCAGGAAGGCAAGCTCTTCAATTTCGGGGTGACGGAACTGGGGAACCTTGTGTTACTGAAATCAAGACATCGCATGTCTAAGAATGACTTGGACGCCCGAAATGGATTCGAAACAAACGGGTACGATGCCAACCAACAAATGTTGTCTAAACCGGCAGCGGCCGCTACTGGGCATGCGACCTTTCGAATCAACTCGAAAATGAATAACGTCCGCGGCGGCACCGACAACGATTTCTATCAACATGGGAACTGCTGTCGGTCGTCATCCCATGGTTTTTCCGGAGCATTTTCGATCGTACCGAGCGGAAAACAGTATTCACCCGAAGCGCAGCGAACGCCATGGCCAGAGAGGCCGCTCGGAGCAACCACGCCAGAAACCCGTCTCGCGCAAGGTTCACCGCGCCCCGGATGGAACATAGGACCAGCAGAGATACAAGCGACCAGCAGAGATACAAGCGGCCCGACGATGGCATGTCGGGGTGCAACGCCATGATGCGTCCGCGCTGCGTGCCTGAGACGCTGTCCATGCATACCATGAGGTCCAGGCAACAAGCAAACATCACTGAATCCCAACTCTGAGCTCCCCGAACACACGCCTCATGTGCATCAATGGCCCCCCACAAGATGCCCGCAGGCGAACTCTGGCTCTGGCTCCAGCTCTGGCTGCCCAGGCGGGGCAAATCGACTGGAACGGAACGTGGCGCGCTCCAACGCACGGTGTCCCACTACTGCCCCTCAGCTTAGAGGACCTCCCAGGTGGGGTCCGAGTATATGGGGTCGGAGGATCGCGCTGCATCACCGATGCATCGGTCACGTCGACGCTGCATCGGCGACGTCGGCGTGAAGCAAATCGGGCCCCACATCGAGCCGCGTCGGCGATGCATCGGCGATGCGTCGCATTTCTCCGACCCCAATTACTCGGACCCCATGTAGGAGGCCGAGATAGCTACGCCAGCTGGGCTGCACCACTGTCGGGGGCGCGCAAACATGGATGAACGATCCATGGATTTGGCGCGCGGCCGCCAAATCCGTGGATCGGGGGAGGTGCCCTCCCCAAAATGCGGCCGGTGCCGCCTCGCTCGGCGGCGGAATTCCGCGACTCCCCATAGGAACGGGACCCGTCGCTCAGCCACGCCCCCCTTGAGCCGTGTTTGCGACCGCCTGAACTCGGCAGTGCCGTCGCCGCCCCCGCCCCCGCGGCGTGCCGGCTGTATAAGCCTGGGGAGGCGAGGCGGGGGAGCGGAGGCGGCTGCCTCCGTGCCCCCCCCCCCCCCCCGGCACGACAAGGCCAGCACAGGGGCCCTGGGACACACAAATAAATGCACGCAAATAACAGGCTTCCCCATATTTTCCCATATTACCTAACAGCGAAGACTGATAGGTTTCTAATGGGAAAAAAAAAAAAAAACAGCAGATGACTCCACAGGGGGGTCTGGGCGGGTGCCGGACAGGGTGCCGCAGAAGTCGTTTTAAGCAAACAGTCACACACTTCGTGCTCTTCGACCTCCCAGAACTCCATTCCCAGGCCACATTCTGAATGCCCGGAGCCAACGGGCCACATTTTGAATGCCCGGAGCCAACTGTAGGCCACTTCGTGGTCTTCGAGTCCCCAGAACTCCATTCCCGGGCCACATTTTGAATGCCCGGAGCCAACTGTAGGCCACTTCGTGCTCTTCGAGTTCCCAGAACTCCATTCCCGGGCCACATTTTGAATGCCCGGAGCCAACTGTAGGCCACTTCGTGCTCTTCGAGTTCCCAGAACTCCATTCCCGGGCCACATTTTGAATGCCCGTAGCCAACTGTAGGCAACTTCGTGCTCTTCGACTTCCCAGAACTCCCATTCCTGGGCCACATTTTCAGCAGGGGCAAGAGCACGACGAGGAGGAGGACGAGCAAGACCAGGAGGACGAGGACGAGCAGGAGCAGGACGAGGAGCAGGAGGAGCAGGAGAAGAAGGACGAGCAGGAGGAGGAGGAGGACGAGCAGGAGGAGGAGGACGACCAGGAGGAGGAGGACGACCAGGAAGAGGAGGAGGAGGAGGAGGAGGAGGAGGGGAGGGGAGGGGGAGGACTACCAGGAGGAGGAGGAGGAGGAGGAGGAGGAGGAGGAGGAAGAGGAGGAGGAGGAGAGGAGGAGGAGGAGGAGGAGGACGAGGAGGAGGAGGGGGGGGGAGAGCACCAGGAGGAGGAGAACGAGGACCACCAGGAGGAGGAGGAGGAGGAGGAGGAGGAGGAGGAGGAGGAGGAGGAGGAGGAGAGAACACCAGGAGGAGGAGGACGAGCAAGACGAGGAGGACGAGAACGAGGACGACCAGGAAGAGGAAGAGGAGGAGGAGGAGGAGGAGGGGAGGGGGAGGACTACCAGGAGGAGGAGGAGGAGGAGGAGGAGGAGGACGAGGAGGAGGAGGAGGAGGAGGACGAGGAGGAGGAGGGGGGGGGAGAGCACCAGGAGGAGGAGAACGAGGATGCTGTTCGACCAAGAGATGCTCCTACACATGGCTGTTAGGTTGCTTTGCCGGGATAATTTTCTGGGTTCTTGTTCCCACCCGCTTCCCATATTTTCCAATTACCTAACAGCTTGTTCTGATAGGTTTCTAGTAGGGTCAAAAGAGAGCAGCAGAAGACTCCACAGGGGGGTCTGGGCGGGTGCCGGACAGGGTGCCGCAGAAGTCGTTTTAAGCTAACAATCACACACTTCGTGCTCTTCGACCTCCCAGAACTCCATTCCCGGGCCACATTCTGAATGCCCGGAGCCAACTGTAGGCCACTTCGTGGTCTTCGACTTCCCAGAACTCCATTCCCGGGCCACATTTTGAATGCCCGGAGCCAACTGTAGGCCACTTCGTGGTCTTCGAGTCCCCAGAACTCCATTCCCGGGCCACATTTTGAATGCCCGGAGCCAACTGTAGGCCACTTCGTGCTCTTCGAGTTCCCAGAACTCCATTCCCGGGCCACATTTTGAATGCCCGGAGCCAACTGTAGGCCACTTCGTGGTCTTCGAGTTCCCAGAACTCCATTCCCGGGCACACCCCGGAGCCAACTCCACTTCGTGGTCTTCGAGTTCCCAGAACTCCATTCCCGGGCCAGATTTTGAGCCCGGAGCCAACTGTAGGCCACTTCGTGTTCTTCAGAGTTCCCAGAACTCCATTCCCGGCAACATTTTGAATGCTGAGGCAGGCTGAGGCTGAGGCTGAGCAGGCTGATGCTGAGGCAGGCTGAGGCTGAGGCTGAGGCTGATGCAGGCTGAGGCTGAGGCAGCTGAGGCTGACGCCGAGGCTGAAGGCAGACTGAGGCTGAGGCTGAAGCAGGCTGAGGCTGAGGCTGAGGCAGGCTGAGGCTGAGGCAGGCTGAGGCTGAGGCTGAGGCAGGCTGAGGCTGAGGCTGTGACTGTGACTGCCGTTGCCACTGCGACTGTCATCGCGAATGCGACTACGACTGCGAGAACAGCACAATTCTACAACTGGATTCTCATCTGAATCTTAAGGGGAATGCTTCCAGATATGCTCCTACACATCGCTGTTAGGTTGCTTTGCCGGGATAATATTTTCTGGAGAATCGGCGATTAACTATGTCTGTGTGTTTTTGCTCCCTCCTGAACGTTGATCGTGGCAGAATGCCCAGTCCTGCCCAGGCGTCCTCTGGGCGGCCCGCCGCCTCCTCCGGGGCGCTCTCTCCGAGCACGGGCAAGGCAGGCCACCAGGGCCGCCAGGGTGGCCCACCTCCTCCTCCTCCCTCCTCCTCCTCCTCCTCCCTCCCCCCTCCTCCTCCCTCCCCCCTCCTCCTCCTCCTCCTCCTCCTCCTCCTCCTCCTCCTCCTCCTCCTCCTTCACCTCCCTCCTTCATCTCCTCCTCCTCCTCCTCCTCCTTCACCTCCCTCCTTCATCTCCTCCTCCTCCTCCTCCTCCTCCTCGCCCTCTCTGTGCAAAAGCGCCCCCAACTCACCCACGAGCCCGTCGCAAGCGCCCACTAGGCCACACGGCACCCCCGAGACGCTCTCCAGGAGGCCCTCGAGAAGCCCCAGCGCATGCTTTCTCATTGGGTGTGCAAAGCCTATCCCTCTCCGCGCTGTCGGTCCAAGAACGGCCCGCTTGCAGTCTCCGAAGGACCAAGGGGGCCTACCCCAAAGAGGGATCCCAATGAGCTGGCGCAGGAGGGCCCCAAGCGAGCCACAAAGCTGACACGAGAGGACCTCCAGAGGGACCCAAGACGACTGATAAGAAGGCCCAAGACGGCCCAAGAGGGCCCCAAGACGGCCGAAAGAAGGCCGCAAGAGAACTGCAGGACTGCACCACAGGGTCCGAGACAGCCCCTGAGACAGCTCCGATGATACCCACGATAGCTGCTCGGGAAGTGGAGACGAGACGTGTCACGCGTGACGGCCTTGCGGGCGGTGCTCGAAGAGGCGGCACACATTTGCTGCAGGCGCCTGGACAGGGAGGGGACGAGGAAGGGAACACGATAAGGGGGAGTGAAGGTGTCTGCCCCTGGGCCTTCCATCAGCTTGGCTGGCGCCCAGACTTTCAGAGACGCGTGCCCGTTGCGGCGATCGGCTTGCGATCCAGCGCAAGGATGACAGCGTAACCTGGAAGCGATCGTGCCCTCGTTGATACACTTTGTCTGTAGAGTGCTCGACATGTTGCCACGAGGCCCTAATGATTCCTTTTCGCATGAGCGATTCAAAAAGAGGCCCTGAGAGATAAGGACGTAAAGACGAGGGGCATCAAACACCGAAAATGCAGCTAGGGACCCATTCCTATCCTGTGGGCCCCAACCCTCAGGGCCGCACCTTTGAACTCCCGGTTATACCTTCGGGGACTTTCGCTTAGCGTTTCGCGGCGTTGGCCCCGGCCACACGCTATGCCCTGCAAGCGGGTGGCGTGTCGCTCCATCCCGGGGCGCGAGACTGGAAAGAACTCGCGACGCTGACGACTGGATACGGGGACGTGGATCTCGTTTCGTGCCGAAGCGTGGTGGGACAGAACCGGTGAAACGACACGCTAAACCACAACTCCTGACCTGGAGAACAAAACACGGCATAAACATAAACTGTCGACGGTCCGCGCGGATTTCTTGGATCTAAGCTGGACTCCCTTCACTGGCGCGCGGAGGCGCCGCCAGGGGGGCCCATCCCAGATCTGAGAAATCCGCGCGGACGGCCGACAGATTATCTGAATGCCGTTCCTTGTTCTGCGATGACCCTGCTCTTTGCGGAACTCTCCCACTTCTGTTTTGGCGCCCGAATTATCTGGGGTAACTCGGGTCAGGGTTAACTCGGGCTTGGATTCCCGAAAAAAACTAACCCGAAGTAGCCCTGACCCGAGATACCCCTGATGATTGGGGGCTCTAGACGCCCGAATTATCCAGGGTTGCTCGGGCCCTGGGTAACTCTGGTTCGGATTTCCGTAAAAAAAAAAAAACGATCCCGAGTTAGCCCTGACCCGAATTATCCCTGATGATTTGGTGCTCTGGACGCCCGAATCATCCGGGGTAACTCGGGCCCGGGGTAACTCGAGTTTGGACTCCCGAAAAACGAACCCGAGTTAGCCGACCCGAGATACCCCTGATGAGTCGGGGTTCTGGTCAGTGCGCTTCCACCCTCCTCCCCTCGCGCGGCCGCCCTCGTCTGTTTGTCCTTCCTCTTGCACGCCGGACAATTCGCCTTTCGGTTGTCCCGATCAGCCCCAACGCTGGTGTGGACTGCCTCTTCCTCGCCGCCGACGAAAAAAACGCTGTGCGATGACCACGACTGGGCTGAGCTGAGGCGCTCCACCTTCCACCGTGGAGGAGGAGGAGGAGGAGGAGGAGGAGGAGGAGGAGGAGGAGGAGGAGGAGGAGGAGAGGAGGAGGGGGAGGAGGAGGAGGAGGAGGAGGAGGAGGAGGAGGAGGAGGAGGAGGAGGAGGAGGAGGAGGAGGAGGAGGAGGAGGAGGAGGAGGGAGAAGGAGGAGGAGGAGGAGGAGGAGGAGGAGGAGGAGGGATGAGGAGGAGGAGGAGGAGGAGGAGGAGGGAGGAGGAGGAGGAGAAGGAGGAGGACGGGTCGCCTAAGCCCTTCGGAGAAACCCTCCACTTTGACCGTGGCCATGCGCCGAAACCCGCCGCGGGCGCGGCCAGCGCCTCCACGCAGATGTCGGTGCCGACGTCGTCGGCGGAGATCTGCCGCCGCGCGGGAGCGGCAGACACGTCGGTGGGGGCGGCGGGCCCCCTCCTCCTCCTCGCGGGGATTTTTGTCGGGAACTACTCTTAGGTCCCTCCTCCTCTGGAGAACGAAAAACGGTACATACATAAACTTTTGGAGCTGCGCGGGGATGTCTTGGATCGGCGCTGCTCCCCCCCCCCCCTCCAGAGGCGCTTCCGACGCCGCCCCTGGCGCGCTCCGCCCGCCAGGGAGGGAGCTTTCAGCGCCGATCCAAAAAATCCGCGCGGCTCCAAGAATTGATGCCCTGTTTTCTTACGCAATCCTCATCCTCTGTCTCCTCCCCTTCTCTCCATGATTTCCCCTCGCTAATCAACATGCGCGTTCCACCACTTGTAAAAAAACTACTCGCAAATTGCCTGAATCCACCGCTGGGGATCTACGATCCGTCACGTCGAGGTGAACCTGTGATGTCGAGTGTTCGGACGTTTGCGAGCAGGCGCTCTCAGAGTGTTGGATCGCGCTCGGTGAGCCAAAACCTCTCCTCGATCTGCTCGCCTGCTCGTGCACTTCATTGCTAAGACTTGGACGCCCGGAATGGGTACCGAAAAAGTGGGTACAGTGCGCATCAACAAATGCTGTCCCAAACTGACAGCGGCCGCTGTCGGGCAGGCGGCTTTCTGTCTTCAACGAACTAACGTCCGCGGCGGCGCGTGCCCATTCTTTCCAAACACCCCTTTCGTCGGGGATGGACAGAGCCCCTTTTGGTAAAAAGGTGGCCTAGTGAAAACGACCTCGGGCCCAACCTGGCGGGCGCAAGCCTGGAAAATGGCGGCCGCGGCGCCCTCTCGAGAACCGAACACGGACAGCTCACTGGTCGAAGTGTCGGGGTGGGGGCTCTGTCCACCCACCAATCTCGATCGTCCCGAGGTGGTCCTCGGCCCCTCCGCGCCCGGCGCCCCGCCGTCTCTGCCGGGCGCGGGCCGCGCCGGGAGCAACTCCCCCGCGGGGGCACCGACGTTGAGCAGGGACCGACCGTCCTGGCATTCCTATAGTCCTACCACGAAATGTCTTTAGAACCCAAAAATGCTCTAAGAACAAAAACAATGTTCTTAGAACATTAACCCGATGTGTCCAACCAAGACAGTCTCAACTAGAACTGTTCTAATAACATTTCGTGGGAATCACACCAGGTTCTTAGAACATCGTTTGGTAGGCCTATAGAAGGGCCAGGACGCTTCGCCACTGCTTGACAATTTCGATCGTCCCGAGATGGTCCTCGGCCCCTCCGCGCCGGCGCCCCGCCGTCTCTGCCGGGCGCGGGCCGCGCCGGGAGAACCTCAAGTCGGGCGTGTTCCCCTACAGGGGGATTGTCGACGAAAACGAAACAATACTCAAAAGATACTCCAAAATGGTCAAAACATAATCAAATAATAGTCCCTGGACTATTTTTGGACTATTTGGGAATATTCCTCCTGTAGGGGGACAGGCCCGACTTAAAGCTCCCCCGCGGGGGCACCTTCGCGAGGCCACACGTGCGGTGCTCCCCTGTGGCCGCGGCGGGGGCTCCCAGGGGCCGCCGCCGCGGCCCTCGGCCAGCGCGGGCGCGCGCGGAGGCGGCGTGGGCACCGAGGCCGAGGACGGCGCCGCTGGCTCCGCAGGGCGCGAAGCATACTCCAAATCCTTGATTGATCGACCCCCCCTCGAAAAAACCAGACCCCCCTCCAAATGCGACCTTCTCTTCCGGCCCCCCCCTCTTCAACGGGGCGCCTGAATAAATGGGACCCCCTAAGCTCCACTCCAAAGAAAGCGCCCAAATAAACCCGACCCCCCCAGTTACAAAAAAGGCGCCTTAAAAAACCGGACCCTGGGAACGATCAATAAGGGATATGGAGTAGAATAATAAAAACCACATGAACATAAACTTTTGGTGCTCCGCGCGGATTTCTTGGATCTGCGCCGGACCCCCCTCCCTGGCGCGCGGAGCGCGCCACGGGCGGCGCCGGAGGCGCCGCCAGGGGAGCCCCGCGCCGCCAGCATCAAAGTTAATGCTTATGTGTTTGCTTCTTCTTCGGCAGCAGGCCGAGGTAGGCACGGGGCGTGCTCTGCCGGCGCGGACGCGCGCGGAGGCGACGTGGGCACCGAGGTCGAGGATGGCGCCGCTGGCTCCGCAGGGCGCGAAGCAGACTCGAGGTGGGCATGGGGCGTGCGCTGTCGCCTCCTGATGGTGGACGGCGCTGAGGGAGTGGTGGCTCGTCCTGGTTCTCTGGGAGATACGCCCGAGCCAGACGGCCCTCTTTTTGTTGATGTACTTGGAGCCGACCCCTGTGCCTCGGCTTCCTCGGCATCCCCGTAGGATCCCGGGGAAGGGCGTCTTCTTGGCGCACGGCTTCGTCGCCATCGAGCGTGTTTGCTGTACGATGCTGAAGTTATCATCCCGTTCCTGTGCCGCCCAGCACGTGTTTGCAGTTTGCATGTTCCTCGAGAGGGGGGGTCCTAGTGTTGTCTGTGGCTGAGGGTTTATTGGTATTTTCTATGGCTTCCTATCGAGGGCGATCACAGTGGTGGTTATTGGTCATGATGTTGTGTGTTGCAGTTGCGGTATCGTGTGTCTTGCTTTTCCCCGTCGGCGCCCCCGAACTCGCGGTGCCCCTGATCGTGGTCCCCGTCGTGCTGGACACGGCAGGTGCACTCAGGCCCCAGCCGGCCCTACCCACTAAATAGGAGTATGACTGGGTGATTGCCACTAATAACACATAATTCTTGATGTTTGAGCAGGGACCGACCGTCCTGGGATTCCTATAGCCCTACCACGAAATGTTCTTAGAACCCCAAAATGTTCTAATAATAAAAACAGCGTTCTTAGAACATTAACCCGATGTGATAAAACATAACAATCTCAACCAGAAATGTTCTATAGGCAAGCCAGGACGCTTCGCCACTGCTTGCCATGTGATCCCTGAAACGTGAGAAGTGCTGCCCCCGGGATCCCTCCACGTCGAACTCGAAGCGGACGAGACGCGTCGACGACAGTGAAGCGCGGTCTTTCGGCGCGAGCCGCTGCTCATCCAGGGTCATGCGACGTTGCTGAGTCGACCCTTTGTTTTTTACAACGGGCTGACATATGTGTACCCAACCAAACGAGGACGCGCTCGATGGACACCGCTTGGGAAAGATGCGAACCATGCGGAGTGACGAACGAACACTGCCCAACGATTAAGAACCCCTCGTGAGACCCATGTCAACACCCTGGCAATGCAATACGTGCAAACTCTGCCTGGACGGTTTGAGAAGTGTGCAGACCAATGCCAAGACCATCGAATCCAGGATGCCCAGACACTGGGGAACATCTGGCTAGAAAGAATCACTTGAAATCGAAGTAGCCGTACGATCAGGGACAATGTGACTGCACCCCTGGGGTCTGCGAAAGCGGAAAACAATATTTGAATGAACGTCGCCAACGACACTGCCAAATGGCTACATCTGCCCGCATGTGCTGACAATGGTACTGCCTCTCATTGGAATAACGAAAACCACGCCAACACAACAAGACATTCTCCCAACGGGAAACCGAACCACTTCCCCGCCAGGCTGTCAATTTCCTCACGCAGCCGGTGGTCCCATGTAAGACATTATCAGCACCGATGTCCGCACAACCTTGAGACACGCATTCTGAATCGTACTGGAATGTTGCCGCATCCATGATGCAAGCATACCTCGGTCATTCGCAAAGGTAGCCGTACAAACAGCTGTACTGCTGAAAGTTCTAATATAGTTACCATCATCAGCAGTGCGATCCCACTTCCAAAACAACTGGCAGCATCCAGCCCAACTGCAACAACACCCAGCACAAACACACGCGCATTCACTCACACGACCATCTTCGGGAACATGTCAAGTTACTACTGTTCCACCTACAACCACCACCCAACCTCCAGCCACGGACAACCATCACCAACACAACTCACTGTTCCTCCGTGCTCATCTTTTGCAACGCCATTCATGAGCCTGGTATCGCTCGTCCTGTATCTCTCGTCATATATCTGTCACTCTCGTTATCCAAATCGTTATTTCTCGCTCTCTCTATCTCCATCCCTCTCTCCTGAACGCCCTGATGTACGCCTACCGTATGCATCTTATGATGGTCCTGCTCATGCGTCCCTTTTGGTTTGTTATGGAAGAGCGGATGCGTCGCAAGCCAACTGAGCGCCAACGAACCACCCAATGAAATCCGACCATATACACACATATATATATATATACATACACATATATATATATATATATGTGTACATAGGCATAGATACATACATATGTACACATATACATAGGTGTACGTGTTCGCTGCTGTCAATCAACCAGTCAGGCAGTCAGCAGTGCGGCCCTGGCGATATCAGAGTCAATCAATCAGACAAGTTCCCCCCCTGGGATTATCTGTTACCTCCTCCCCGTGGATCTGCAAGACTCGATGAAACCAGCACTGCAAGATTCGAGCCATCTGGGCCCAGCCCAGTTCGTCTTCATTCGTGCGTTTGCCTCCGAGAACGGCGACCCTCCTCCCTCTCCTTATCTTCCCATTTATCCTCCCATTCATTCAGGCATCTTCTTTTCTGCGTAAGCCACCTTCACCTCCTCCTCCTACTCCACGACATTATCCCCAACATTCACCTACTCATTATCATCCCTTTCCTACTTTCTCCTCCTCCCCCCCTCCGCCGTCTTCTTTGTTTTCTGCTCCAACTCATGTTTCTGCTTTCCCGCTAATCCTTGCAAACCGTTATCCGTTTGAATCCCCCTTCGTCGCAACAATGGGGCATGTCGGTAAGGCCGGCGGGAAATTCCGATTGAGACCTTCCATCACTTTAGGACTATAAGCTGTGTATCGACTTCAACCAACACCATCAGCTTCGTGCATGCTTCGTTTAGCACGGCTCTCGCCTTGGCCCCGCGCATAGTCGTCTGTTAACTTTTCAACCGTGGCACACTTGGATAGCGGGTTGATTCCAAACTGCGGCACGCGCCTCAGCGCCGCGCAAATTTGCCTTCACAGATGTAGCTCTCGCTGTAGCGTCGTGAGAACAACCTTTTCTGAACTCAGACGCTGGGGGCCTCGGAATGGCGGCGCCACGGAGCGCACTGATAGGAGACGAGGGGGCCATGACATCTGAGAGAAGCCATTGCCACGGTCATGATACCCCCACTCACACACTTGCTTTCTCAGCGCGACGGGGCCTATCGGCACGGTGAGGAAACGACAGACGACGGCCAGGAGCACGGGGGAAAACTCGCAGGGGCGACAGCAGCGGCCGGCGGCACGCTGCCTAACCGCCGCCCTGCGTAGCGCGTCGGCGCGGCGAACATTTGCCCGCGCCGGGGCACGCCGCCAGGCGATCCCGCAGGGCCGCCTGCCACACACGCACACACACACACAAACACACAAACACACACACAAACGCACGCACTCACATACACACGCACACACACACAAACACACACGCACGCACGCACGCACGCACGCACGCAAGCACACACATACACACACGGACGCACGAACGGCCGCACGCACGCACGCACGCATGCAGGCACGCAGGCACGCAGGCACGCAGGCACGCAGGCACGCACACGCACACAGACAAACACACACACACAAACACACACACACACACACACGCACACACGCACACACACACACACACTCACACACAACACACACGCACACGCATACACACACACACACACACACGCGCACACACACGCGCGCGCACAACGTCCTTACAATACACTCTTGGACGCGGCCAGACATCAGGGGTCCCACTCCCAGTTCCTGCCCACCCTCCTCTCTTGGACGTCACCAGACATCTCCCCTCCCCTGGCCTCCCCCTCCCCCCCCCGCGCCCGCCCCAAACGCGTTGGCACGGGCGTGCGTGCTGGACGCCGGCGGCGCTCGGAGGGGCAAGAGCCGGGCGGGGGGGAGCCACGGCAGCGCCAGGTGCCGCTCCGCCGCAGAAGCACCCGCCAGCGCACGGCCGCGGAAGGGCCCCCGGGCCTCCGGGCCAACACGGCGGAGCAGTGCGCGGGCGGCCTCCCAGCGGCGGCGCGCCAGGGATTCTCACCCTGACCCATCCCGAGGCGCCAGCGGCGGTCGGAGAAGAGAGTCGGGTCGGGCGAAAGGGGGGGATATGGGGGGTTTGAGAATCAGCTCACGTAGCTGATTTTCCCGGCGCCTCCCAGCGCCGGGGGCGGCCATGTATCCAGGAATTGGCCCCTCGTCGGGGCCGAAACCAGCTGCATGCAGCAGATTTCGTACCCCCCCCTTTCCCAATCCCCCCCTTTCGTCCGGCCCAAGCCAAGGGATTCTCTCCCTGCCCCATCCCGAGGCGCCGGCGGCGGTCGGAGAAGAGGGGCGAGAGCGGGCAAAGAGATCTGGCCGAGATCAGCGCGCGCTGCACCGACAGGATAGCACGGGTGGCAGAGCCCAGCGCTTCCCCAGACTAGGGAGCGACCCTATAAGTTAGGTCGGGCATGTCCTCCTACAGGCGGAATTGGACGAAACATGAGAAACAGTACAACAACTACAAACATATAGCCAACACATAACAACCCAAATGCCCCCCTGACTATTGTCTGACTATCTTTGAATATTCCTCCTGTAGAGGGACATGCCCGACTTAACCCTATAGGCAGGAGAGAGGCCTCCCCTCCTCCCCCTCCTCCCCCTCCTCCCCCTCCTCCCTTCTCCCCCGTCCTACTTGTGGCAGTGGTGGTGGAGGACTGGCCGTCTACGGTTGGCAGGGTACCCCCCATCGCTGCACGAGGGAGCGACCCTATAGGCAAGAGACAGGCCTCTGGTGCGCGGCTCTGCGCTCAAGAACTTCTGCCTGGCGTGTCGCGGCGGCGGTCCCAGCGACACGCCGTGCCCTGCTAGCGGATGGCGCGTCGCTCCGCTCCGAGGGGCAGGATGCCGGGAGATGCCCGGACGTCGACGCCTCGGGACGCGGAAGCGAATGACGTGTCGCGCCGAAGCGTGGTGGGCCAGAACCGGCGGAGGGACGCGCGGTCCAAAAATGCCCGACCGGGGGGGGGGGGGGGCGCGGCGGGGCCGAAACCAGGCGTGCAGGCCGCTGCTTTCGCATCTCGTTCAGCGACAGGGGGGTCACCGTGGGCTCTGGAGAGAGGTCACTATTGCGTGTACTCGGGAATCGACGGGCCATTTCTTCCTGCGCTTGCGTTGGCGTCGAGTCGCCTGCACGCTGCAGGCAAGTTGCCAGCAACACGTGCTTCTGGCGCTTCTACTGCCAGCGAGTTGCCAGGCTAGCCCACGCACTCTGTCCTCGTTCCTCATTCATCCTCCACCACCTCCACCTCCCTCCCCCTCGCCCTCGTCTTCCCGCATTGCCTGACCTCCCTCTTTCTCGCTTCGCCTCGTTTCCCGTGCGGACCTGGTACATGTTGGACGTCACTCCAGGGATGTCCACTGGCAGGTCCCCGACCTTGCGCTTCCATTTACACCTGCACCAGTGCACTGCGCTCAGTAAGAGGGATCAAGGAAGCTGAATTGCTCCTCCTCCGCCTCACCCTCCCCTGTCCCTCACATTTCTCCTCACCCTTCCTTCCTCCCCCACATCCTCATCCTCCAACTGAACTGTCTTTCGCGGACTGCTTTCCTCTCCGATACCTATCTTGCCTTCGTAACGGGCTCGAGCGATATTTCCGTGAGACTGCGTCTGTCAGCCAGTGGGGACGGAGCGGGAGGGGAAGAGGAGACGAAGAGGAAGGCAAAGAAATCTGGGGCAGGACACAGGAGGATGAGGGGAAGGGAAGCCAGACAATGAACGCGATGTTGAGAGAGGGCGGAGAGAAGAGGCGGCCGAGAGCAGGCGCCCCTTCAATTAAACGACGAGCCTGTGACTTCGAGAAGCCTTGGAGGCGGCCAGGGTGTCTCCGAACAACCAATCCGGGGGGGGGGGATTAGACCGCATCCGCCCCAGATCGGTCCCCGGATCCCTCCCAAAGGTCCATCTGATGTGGTGTTTCACCCGGGATCCGTCTTCCACGGTCCCGGGGCCCGAGAGCGGCCCCCAAAGGCCGAACAAGGCAAGCGCCTGACCCCGGCCGAACAGCTTCGGACCTGCCCGCCCCTTCTGCTGGCTGGAACCAGTGCCGCGCCACCGCAGAAACCCAGACGGCTCCACGAGAAGCCCCTCCTCCTCCTCCTCCTCCTCCTCCTCCTCCTCCTCCTCCTCCTCCTCCTCCTCCTCCACGGCGCAGCGGCCTTGTCTAAAGACAGGCCTGTCGCAACAGCTCTTGAAACCCCTGCAGGGTGCCTCGCCACGGTGGCACGCTCGCGCGGCAGCCCTGCAGCGAGTGCCAGGGCAGGACCAACTCCCGCCGCCTAGAATTCGCAAAGCTGCTGACGTGCCCACGGCCGCCAGCAGCGTGACGGATACGCCATGAAACGATACCCTGGCTGGGATTCCTCTGCTGCTGGGATTCCTCTGCGGAGTGCGGGTGTCGCGGCTCTGGCCGCGTCACCCGCACTCCGCTCAAACACTTCCAGACCCCAGCATGCCAGAAGTTCTCTGATAAATAAGCGCTCCACCTTCAGCTAACCCCCGTGAGTCATCCGATGAACATGAGACAAATGGCAACCGTCCGCCGCCGCGCCACTGCCGACGAGCATCGCAAGTTCAAAGGTTAGGAGCGAGGGAGGGACAAGAGGAGAGGGGGCCAGGGCGCGTCGCGGAGATCCCCTGCGGCCCAGACGGCCAGATAAAGTCCCTCAAAACACAGCGACGACCACAGGGGGGAAAGAGGGAGGGAGATTAACGACACGCCGCAGCGGCGGTGGCGTGCACATTGATGAAGTACGCCCACATTTCTATCAGCCCGACGGTCAAAAGCGGAAGCGACAAGAGAGAAGATAAGCAAACTAGCTCCTGAACAGTGACAGGGGGACAAGAGTTTCCGCACGGCCCTATGACAAAAAAACAAGAAAAAACATTAAGAGAGGAGGAAAGAACGGGGCGCGGGCAAGGAAACCAGGATGGACGCCAGGTCACAGCCAAGAGCCAGCTGGCGGCCAAACACAAACACACACGATTAGCACAAGCACTCACATGCGGAATAAAAGAGCATGAATGAACGCGTGTATTGAAGAACGACCGCGGCGCCACGAAGCCACTGGAAGCGTCCGCCCCCGAGGAACGGAGGAGCAGGGGCAGTTATCCGAAAGGCGGGCACCCGAGCTTGGCACATGGCCCGCTGTAACAGAGGATGCTGATGTCCGCGCTGGTGCATCTGGTGGTGCCGATTCTGGCGATGTCCGAACCAACTGGGGCGCTGTCGTTGGAGCAAGTTCTGGTGCTGGTGCCGGTGATGATGTCATTGTCGGTGTCGATCCTCCTTGAAAGACGCCTCTGTGTGAGAACGCAATGCCAGGTCCCACAACAAACTCCTGCCTGCAGGGGCCGTCAGCCGTTGAGCCCCCGCGTGCGTGGCCAACGCAACTCTCGTGGAAAGCTTCGTCTTGTCCATTTGCTTGTGACCGAGGACGCGTCTCCGGCGGACGGCCAATTGTTGTGCGATCACGTCCTGGTCAGTGTAAAAGTTTCCGCTGGCGTCCTCCAGGCAATGTATACATTTTTTCGGTTCGTCGTGATAGCCAGGCCAGTCGCCGATGTACGGAGATCTGCTGCACACAGCGGCGTCGTTCGTCCAATCCTCACCACACTGGCGCCTGCTGTACCAATCGCATGCGGCGACATGGAAATCGCAGAAGCGGTTGCCAATGCCACCTTGGTCAACAACTCGTTCGGAAATCGGCGCGTAATGTTCTGGGGAAACGACAATATCTGCTTCAGGTAACCAGAGATAATCGAAAAGACTGTCGGAGTTGCGGTCCAATGTTCGAGGAAAGCCCGCCTTCGCTGGACAATAGAGGTTGAGCCAAATTCTTTGTGGATCGTCATGAGCGATGTCAATGGGGTACCAAGTGGCGGACGGCGGCATTGGGGACGAGCTGAATACCAGTGACCATCCTGATGCGGCTGAGGAGCGGGACTGGAGAGATAGCTTCGCGGTGCCTAGCGAACTTTGAGAGCTGGCCCAACCCTGTCGTACTTTCCAGGCAGCGGGGGTGCAGTCGAGATTGGAACGGGTCTACTCCCATCATCACGCGGCAGACTACTCCCAATCTGGGTGACGGCGTGGCCTTCACCCCGCCCATATGAAACTGGCCAGGTGGTGTCCGATAATAACCGCCCGTGGCTTTCGGCCATCGCCGGCCAGATGCGCAACAACGAACGCCGAATCTCCACAGCAAATTCATTTAACATTCTGATTTCGCACGCCGGGTCTCCAGGACACCACGGCGATATCAAACTGCAGGCGCGGGACGGAGTCGCGCTTCGTCCGATGAACAGGCTGCGGGCTCTCAAGCAGGCGGTGTACAGAGGCGGTGCGCATGTGGCGAACAACCCTGGCGTGCCAGAAGGGAACCAGCGTGCCGAATGCTGAAGGCCGCCCACGCTCCTCGCCCACGCTCCTCATTTAACGTCAACCGCACTTTGAAAGCAGATCTGGGGCGCCTTTCTGTCCTTGACATCTGTCGCCTGGCTGTCGCTTACCCCTCGTGGGTGAAGGAGGGCGAGGCGGGATCGAGTTCACCTTTGCCCGACTACTTTCGATTCGCAAAGCAATTGCCGGCGCGCGTGGTGGTGCTTTCGCTCAGCTCGCCGCTGTGCAGAAACACAAAAAACATTAACTCTGCGAAGAGCATGACGGCCGCGCCCACCGTGAACAAGTGAGGAACACGCTAGCCCGCAACTGTCCTCACCCACTCCTTCTTCCGTTTCTATTGTCGCTTCTCCCGGCTCAGCTCACTGCATCCTCCCATCCCCTTTATCTGTCTGTCCTTCCCCGCCCATTCCCGACCCTCTCCGCGCCCATGCTCCCCCCCTTCCACCCACCACCCCGCCTCCCCCCTCCGTCGCCCTACCTTCCCCCCTCCCCCATCCATGCCCCCTCCTCTCCGTTCTTTACCCAGCCCTCCCCTCCGCTGGCCCCTCCCGGCGTCCCGTACCTAGACATCAAATCGCTGAATCCACGCACAAAAATGTCCAGGGATGCGTTTTGACAACGCTTTCGAAGAGAATCCAACCGGGGCCATGAGAAGCTCCCCGGAGGTTGCGGGACCGCGAAAAACGTGCAAGCATCTCGAACACATATCCCATTTTTGGACGGTGGACCGCGCTGTGTGCTCTCGCCGGTTCACGCTGCAATGACGTTGGCGATGGTGCCTGCTGAGGTGCGGGTCGCTCAATCTTGCCTTGAACGATCCTAGTCTTCCGATAGCGCAGATCGCTCGATGTGGGTCGATTCCTGGCGACGTTCAACCTTGAATGCCCGCGCGTCGCCGACGCGTCGACGCGGCGCGAACCTGCCGCAACCCTGCTCCACCTGCTTGTCCGCTGCCCCCCCTCCTCCACTTTCCCGTGAGAGGAGCGGGTCCACGACTGGTGGGGAAGGGCACAGCGGATAGGGAGGAGGAGGAGGAGGAGGAGCATAAAAAGGGGGAGGAAAAGGAGGAAAAGGAGGAGGAGCCTACCCAGCGCCCTAGGGCATCCTTGGGTAATGCCTACCCAAAGCCCTGGGGTACTCTTGGGTAGGGCATACCCCAGACCGTGCGGACAAGTTTGACGTACGCGCAAGGCGTAGGCGTAGGGTTGGCTTAGGGGAAGGGCCTCGAGGAAGGCCTATGGTGGGCCTAAACAAAAGCCTAGGGGTAAGCTTAGAATTGGCATAGGGGGAAGGCGGGCGGACCTTACCCTAATGGGCGGGGCGGGGCGGGCGGGCGGACCCTAACGGGCGGGCCGGGTCGGGCGAACACGCGTGAACCCTAACGGGCGGATCGGATCGGGCGGGCGTGCCCTGAACGGCGGGTCGGGGCGTGCGGGCGGGCCCTAGCAGGCGGGTCGGGTCGGGCGGGCGGGACATTAAAGTGTCCAGACCGCACGGGCAAGTTTGACGCACGCGTAAGGCGCAGGCGTAGGGTAGGGTTAAGAGAAAAGGGCGTTGAGATAGGCCTAGGGTAGGCCCAAGAGAAAGGCCTAAGGGTGGGCCTAGAGTAGGCCTAGGGGGAGGGCGGGCGGACCCTGACGCGCGGGTCGAACCAGGCGGGCGGAATCTAACAGGCAGGTCGGGTCGGGCGGGCGGGGCATTAAACCGCGGGGCATACGCGAACGAGCACGCGCGAACCCCAACGGGCGGGTCGGGCGCGGCAGGCGGAACCCAAAGTGCAGGTCGGGTCGGGTGGGCGGACCCTAACTAGCGGGTCGGGCCGGGCGGGGGGAACATTGACTGCGGGGCGTGCGTGGGCGAGCACGCGCAAGCCCCAACAGGCGGATCGGGTCGGGCGGGCGGACCCTAACGAGGCTCGGGCCGGGTCGGGCGGAACCTGGCGGGCGGGTCGGGTCGGGCGGGCGGGGCGTTCACGAGCCCAGAACGCGTGA